GAAAGAGCGCGAAATGCGACCTTCTGATGCTGTAATGCATGTCAATGCTCCAACCCGTCGCGATTCATGTTGACTGACTGACTGACTGATTCATCACTGTGTGGATGGGCGGATGGTAGCGGACTGGACAATGCTGGCAAGACGACCATTCTCAAGCGGATCAACGGGCAGGACATTAGCGAGACGTCGCCCACCCTCGGATTCAACATCGAGACTCTTGAGTACAACGGGTAGGTGCAGGGTTGGGGCCCGGTTGAAAGCGAGCCATGCAGAATGCAGAAGGCCCTGTCATAACCATACACGCGCCACCAACAACAACTCTCACCTCATGTTGCAACGGATTGAACATGTCCTATCAACAACTTGATCTACTTTTGTGCAGATACCGCCTGAATGTGTGGGACGTGGGCGGCCAAAAGTCAATCCGATCATACTGGCGCAACTACTTTGAGAGCACTGACGGCATTGTCTGGGTCATCGATAGTGCTGATCCGCGCCGCTTCGAGGACTGCAAGAGAGAGCTTCATGCGCTCTTGCAAGAAGAGGTAGGTGTTGAACCTTTCAGGGTTTGTCTGTTTGTTGGTCCAGGCGAAGAACGCAGCAGTTAGTTTGGGCAAAAACGTCGCTCACCAAATTTTCGACAGCGACTGGCAGGTGCGTCGTTGCTGGTCTTTGCAAACAAGCAAGATATTGCCGGCGCCAGTTCGCTGGAAGAAATTTCACAGGTATTGCCAGCCGGGAGAGAGAGAGAGAGAGAGAGAGAGAGAGAGAGGTCTGTGTGAAGCTGTCTGACTTTTTCGGCGGTTTGTTTGTGTCCTCCGGAAAGGCGCTCGCATTGTCGGGAATCGCGTCTCACCACCACTCGCTCCAGCGGTGTAGCGCAGTCACTGGAGAGCACCTTCTGGAGGGCATTGAGTGGATCGTGCAAGACATTGCCTCGCGAGTGTTTGTCATGGAGTGAGATTTGGCCCAATTGTCGTTCGTCGCGCCATGCAGCAGCTCATAACACTTGCAGATGTAGAGTATTGTATATTATATGTTAACAATCAGATCCAGAGGGCAACAGAGATGCTTGCTTTGTTCACAACGACGCCAATGCATCCAGCGTGGTGTCAAATGCGTTTTTGCGCTGTTGTCGCTGTGCTGCCCAGCTCTCGAAGTGTGGCTTGAATTTCCTGCACACGAGGAATTGGTCAAACAAGAGTCAGAATCCAAGAACAACGCAGAAAAGCAATCCGAGCACATGCGTTTGAGCTGAGAAATGAAAGCCATGACGTGTCGACTGACTCAGCTTTCCCGCCACCCATCCCACAGCACCAGCTCGAACGATGGGAATGGGCCAGCACATTGCCGACAAAGAGACAGCCGAGTTGTTCAAAACACTGGCTTTCTTTCAAACTCGAGTGGTCGGAATCATTCAGGTCTCGTCAACAGAACGAAAAAAAAAAAAAAAAAAAAAAAAGGACAAAAAGAAAGGGGATAGGAACAAGCGGGTGTCGAATTTGGAACTGCGATGACAGACTGATGCACAACCGCTGCGCACATCATATCTGAACTTGGAAATTGCTTACGGCTCAATTGCGTCTCACAATCCCAGTGGCCCGCTTGTGAAAGTGGTGCTTGGGCACTCTTGTGTTAAGCAAACACCTCATGTCATTTTGGTGGCTGAAAGAACAGCACCTTGGCATTCCCCACCCTGCCCCCCAAAAGAAAGTGTTTGATTGCAAGCTGGAGCGGCGGAGAGAGAGAGAGAGAGAGAAGAGAGAAGAAAAAAAAAGAGAGATGCTCAAAGTATCCAAAGTATTCGTTACCTGTTGGGTCCGCGGAACCGCTGGGGCTGAATTAACTGGCGCAACTGGTTCGTGAGAGGGCACATCATCTGACATGTACATGCCCTGATCCATGGCGGCGGCCTGGCGTTGTTGCTGGTCGTGCTCGATTTGGGCAAGAACGCGCGTCCGAGTCGCCGCTCCGTTGGTCAACGAGCTTTGCAGCAGCTCCAGCGTGTCATCGAGCCTGGATGCAAGCTCTTCGTTGGCCATGTTTGTCTACCAGCAAAGGTTTCATCACGTCGGGTGAGTTAGTTGCATGTGCATACACGACGGACTGAGCGAGGCCAAATTTCGCCCTCCAAAGCCATCTTCATCGCCCCCCCCCCGGGCCTCTGAGCCAGTTTTCCGCCTTTGAGGGTCTGCTTGTTATTCGCTTGAAGCGAGAGGGGGAGAGAGAGAAAGAGAGCAAGTATCACTGGTTGTCACACATGTGTGATTTCATGTTCCATGTGCGGCCGAGTGTTTCCGACAATCATTGCCTAAGGAAGGAGTGCTCACCTGGCGACGGGTGCGCGAAGCAGCGACTGCTGCGGTTGCTGCCCGAATCGAAGCAGAAGCACCTGCACCTGCCGCAGCAACGCCTGCGAACGGCGACGGGAGCGCTGAGGTTTTGGCAACGGTCGAGCTGCTGCTGCTGCTGCCGCCCAAGCGTCGGCCAGCGCCAGTCCACGCGCTCTTGGAGACGCCAGCATGCTTGACTGTCGTTGAAGAAGATGTTGATGATGATGATGATGACGAGGACTGCTTCTTGTTGCGATTGTGCTTGTTGGCGCTCTGCGTCTTGGTCTGCGACGGCCGCGCCATTGCCGTTCGTGTCATTTCGAAAGCCCTTCCTTCACCCCCCTTTTTTGCTCGTGAATAATGAAGAGTGATGATACCTTTTTCATTTTGTCATGTTATACTTGCATACTACAAGTAAATCGTACTGCATTGACATTGAGTGAAGCCTTTTCATTTCATTTCACTCCCTTTTTGTTTCATTGTCGCTTCTCCGCTCAGCCACTCAACTTCAACAAGCAAACAGCATGTCGCGCAGCAGCAGTGGCGGTGGTCGCAGCAGTCATCGCAGCACATCTGCCGCTGGCGACGACCATCATGACGACAGGGGCCTTGGTGCAGCCGCTGCCGAGACCCACAACGAGCGAGCGAGCCTCATTGCTTCCTCGTCCTCGTCCTCGTCCTCTGGCGTCGTGACCATTGCGCCGGACTCCGGGTCCCGACGGCGCCCACCCCGCGGCTCCACTGCTTCGTCATCGTCGTCGTCGTTCGTGTCCCGCCTCTTCCAGTTCTCGAGGTGAGCGCTGTCGTTCGTACCCTTGTCTTGGGGGAGAGCGCTTCTGTATAATTCCGTCTTGGAGGAGCCCCATCCAACCCCATCCATCCCCATCTCAACCCATCATTGATCACTCCTTCCTATTGTGGTTGACATTGCATACCCCCCCCCTCACCTTCTCCTGCGTCCGCGTGGCTGGCTGAGCATGTTTTTAAGACCATGGTTTTTTTCCTTGTTTTTTTCTCCGTTCCTCTGAACGACGAGCGCAAAATGTTCCTTCATACTTGCAAATCGAACAACAAAAGGCAATGACAGTCGAATCATGATAAATGGCCGGGGGGGGGGAGGCGGAGGGAATTTCTTGTCGGGACCAGAATCGTCTTGAATCTCAGTTGTTTCGTGCTGGAAGTCTGAGCTTTTGTTCGATTGGATCTCATGTTTGTTTGCTCTCAATCTCAACAGACGAAAGGTGTTTGCGCTATTGCTCGTCCTCGCGGTGATTCTTGCCGGTAAGAACGTCTCCTGTGCTTGGTTTGTAACTTTGCCGGTTGTGGATCCGTCTCATTCTCTGGTTGCCACATGCTCCGCAGTGGTTGGAGGACTGGGATACTTTTCGTCTTCGTCGTCGTCAAGTCAACCCATCCAATTCCAAGGCCACGGAGCCGTTGCCGCCGATTCAACCTACTGCTCTGAGATTGGCGCGGACATTCTGCGCCAGAACGGCTCGGCCGTCGATGCAGCCATTGCATCGCTGCTCTGCATTGGCGTTGTCAACTCCCACTCCTCTGGCATTGGCGGGTAGGTTTCATGAGATGCAGACAAAATTCGATGAGGAAGTAGCTTGCCAACTTTGTTTTTTTTTTGTTGTCGATTTGCCCCTTCCCTCTCCCCCTCCCTCCTTCCCCCCAAAAAAAAAAACAGTGGCGGTTTCATGGTCGTCCACACGAATGATACCGACGTCGTGATTGACTTCCGCGAGGTCGCTCCGGCGGCTGCCTATGTCGACATGTTCAAAAACTCGTCCCAACTGTCGCAGGTTGGTGGGCTTTCGGCGGGCGTGCCCGGAGAGCTGGCAGGCATGGCCAAAGCACACGAAATGTTTGGCATTCTACCATGGGCCAAGCTGTTTGCGCCTGCCATCAAGCTCGCGCGTGAGGGATTTGTCTTGAACGAGCACCAAGCGGCTGCAATCACGTCCGAGCTCACGTACGTCCGCGCCGATCCCGGCCTTCGTGCTGTCTTTATCAAGGCGAATGGAGATCCTCTGGCCGCGGGCGATGTGTGCATCCATGCGAATCTCGCCAACACCCTGGAGGCCGTCGCGACCAACGGAATTGACATTTTCTACAATGGGTCGATTGCGCACCAGATTGTCGACGACATTAATGCCAACGGCGGCAACATGACATACGAGGACTTTGCCAACTACCGGCCAGTCATTCGCCAGCCGCTCGTTGCCTCGTACAATGGCTTCAAGCTGGTGACGGCTCCGCCGCCGGCGTCGGGCGGTGTCACCATCTCCGTCCTCAACATTCTGGACGGGTTTGTCACGGCACAGACCAAGGCTCAGGAGACGGCGCGCCGACACCTCTACTCGGAGCAGACGGAGCCTGGACCCATGCAGCCCCGATCCCTCTTGGCCGTGCAGCGAACGACCGAGGCGTTCAAGTTTGGGTATGCCTTGCGCACGCGCATTGCCGATCCCTTCGACACCGAGTATGCGGATGATATCGCTGCCACGCTGGCCGAAATGCAGAACGTGACGGAAGCCCTGAACAAGCGCTTCCGGATTCACGACAACGAAACGTTCGACCCAGAGTACTACGGCGCCATTTACGACGTCGAGCCAACGCGCGGCACCACTCACCTGTCCGTCCTCGGCACCCGCGGCGACGCTGTGGCGGTTACGAGCACCATCAACACGTACTTTGGCGCCAAGTTCACCTCTCCGTCGAACGGCGTCATCCTGAACGACGAGATGGACGACTTTTCGTCGCCCAACATTACGAACGCGTACGGCGTGCCACCTTCACCCGCCAATTTCATCAAACCGGGCAAGCGACCGCTGTCCTCCAGCGCGCCTACCATCGTGTTCAACGCCAAGAACGAGGTCTACATGGTTGTTGGCGCTTCCGGCGGCACGCGCATCACTACCTCGACCATCCAAGTCATGCAGTCTGTACTCACCTTTGGCGAGGGCATCGACGATGCCATCACTCGCCCGCGCCTCCACCACCAGCTGCTGCCCAATATTCTCATGCTTGAGCCGGCCTTCCCGACAAATCTGTACACGGGGATGCAAGCGATTGGCCACAACGTGACCACGTCCACCTCCATTGCGGTTGTTCAGGGCATTGTGCAGTATGCTCCCAATGTGATTTATGCCAAGTCTGATCCTCGAAAAGGCGGCGAGGCTGTTGTATTCTGAATGTTGTTTGCGTTGTGTTGATTTTCGTTGTGTTGTTTTTCATTGTGTTTGTGTGGTGATTGACTGTATCTTCTTCTCAAAATGCTCATTTTGTAATTGCACCATCAGTCTTTGATTCCCCCCCCCCTCCATCCCCATACTCTTTTCAATGACGGAGCAGGACGAGCTCCCCAATGCGAAACGACACGCGACCATGCTCTCCAGCTCGCCCACGCCAGCCAACAGCCAGTCGCAACGCCCGTCGCTGCCATCCAATGCGTCGACGAGCGCTCTCTCAGAATCACCAGACGGCAGTCTCCCGCGACGGACGCCCGTGGACTGGCGGCCTGTCCCTGTGCTGCTCGCTGAGGTCGAATCCCACACGATGCCCACCGGTGAGAGCCTCCTCCGTCGTCAGCCTCGTTGTTCATCCCCCATCTCACATTGCTTTGGGATGTGTGTGTGTGTGTGTGTGTGTGTGTGTGTGTGTGTGTGTGTCGCAAGAGTGGACCTGCCAAAGCAGATGAGCGCCGTCATTGCGTTGTGTGTGTGTGTGTGTGTGTGTGTATTGTTATCGCTGCAACAGCTCGAGCGATCGTCGCAAGAGTGGACCTGCCAAAGCAGATGAGCGCCGTCATTGCGTTCATCCAGCAGTGCATGCAACCCGAGTCAGCTCGCCTGGAGCATTTGAGACGTGTTCGAAAACCATCCAGTGAGAACCTGCCAGCATGTCGAGATTTATGTGGGGGAGCGGAGAACATGTCAAACTCATGCGATTTCTGAATGTTTTGGTTTCCCGTTTTCGGATTTTGACATTCTCAGACAGCGTCATGCAAGTGTTAATATGCCTCGTAGACTCGGTGCCGCTTTTGCGGACGCACCACGAAATATCCACGCCATCAGATACAAGTAGTGGGAGTGACGCTGCTTGCAACGGCAACTCCAGTTCGTCCCTAACCAGCGACCAGCTCTTGTTGGGCATCAAGAGTCTTCTCCAAAGCCGTGGCGTGGCGGACGACAAGTCTCAAGTCCTGGAGTCGTTGTCCCTTTGTGTAACTGACGTGCCGGAACGGATTGCGGCGAATCAACAGCAACATGCGGCTGGTAATGCCTTGTGGCCTCTTGCCCACGCTTCAGCACTCACGTAAGAAGGCTCGCATTCGTCACTCGGCGCGCGTGTGTGTGTGTGGGGGGGGGGAAAGGAGGAGGAGTCTTGGTTCTTTCCTTTATGGTTTTGTTGCTTTTGAAAAGCCTTTGAGAAGGCGGGCTGGATTCAATCAAACTCACCAGAATGCGTCTTGTTTTTCATTCCCTTGGATCGATGACTTTAGCGCCGCAAAAAACTCGGCATTGGCCGAGATGTTATTTTCAGACGACGAGCTTCAACGCATGGACGGCTATATGGATATCGCAATTGCGCAGGCACAGGCGGCCAGAGCCCAAGGCAACGTAAGATGTGTTGTTGACATGTCTGCAATCTGACTCTGCAACTTGAGCATGTCGCTCACCGTGCGTTCTGATAGTCTCCAATAGGCGCTGTTGTGGTGGATCCAGCGACCAATACAATACTGGCATCGGTTGGCGATTGTTCCCGCGAGCACACGTTGGCGCACGCGGCGATGGTTGCCATTGCTCGAGTGGCGGATGCTCAGCGCCAAGAGTATCTAGCTGCATTGCAGCAGGGCGAGAACGGCGCACCCGCTTCGGCGGAGGCGGGCAACAGCAGGCCAGTCGCAGAGCTGCCCTACTTGTGCACCTCGTACGACTTGTACATTACTCGCGAGCCATGCGTCATGTGCTCGATGGCTCTGGTGCATTCACGCGTTGGTCGGGTGTTTTTCGGCACGCCCCATCCCGACATGGGCGGCCTCGCCGGTGCGCGTCGGATACACGCCGAGCCGAAACTAAACCACCATTTTCTCGCGTTCCGAGGCGTAGCCGAGCGTCGATGCGCCGCTTTATTCTGCGATGGAGCGGACACGGAGTGAACACGGTGTCAAAGTTGGTGATTTTCGCGAACGAGCTCAATAAACAGCGACCTGAGATGAGCTTCAACATGTCCATCAGTCATTTTTTTGGTTCATTCATCCGTTATTGATCTCAGTCATGCAAGCGCTGAGAGCTGAGGATTGGTCCTACCGAGGCGAAGGCGCCGCGAACATTGTCGTTTCGTTTACCGGCGATCAAGCGAGCAATCCAGAGCTCGAGGTTTGTCGGCAAAAACAAAAATACATTCGCACACCCTTTGCTTTTGCATTTCGGAAGCATGCATTTTTTGATTGTATGAAGGCTCAGAGGTGGTGAATGATGATGGTGATGCGCGGCTATTGGGAATGAATTGAATCCATAGGGCAAAGTGCTGCGAATCCGCAAGTCGCCGGTCGTTGCGCCGTCCGAGCCGAGGCAGACATTCTCGACAGAGCAAAACTACGCCTACTTGACGAGGCTGATTGCGCCGCTGCTGGGCGACGAGTACGTCAACGCAGGCCAGCTCGTGCCGTTGGCGGCGACCTTCCTGCAAGACCTCGACCAGCGCATCGCCGCCGAGCGCCCAGCCAAGCGTGTGCAGGCAGCCAGGCTCGACTGTGCAGGCAGCGCTGCTCAGCTGCTGCGCGACGTGGGTCGCCCGTTCATCCAGTCGCACGACCAATCCGACACGTTCTGCGTCGAAATCAAGGTGAGGGTTAGAGGGTTGGTTCTCTGAGAAACGAGGATGATTTTTCTCAGTGAGAAACAACGAGTTTGACAATCTCGCTGATGTACTCTTTTGTGTGCGGCGCTCACCCCCATCGACTTGCACTTGTCGCCATTTTGGAAAAAAGCCAAAATGGGGCTTTCTGCCTACCTCGTCGTTCATCCACCCAAGCAACGCTACTGCAAAGCTCAGCAAGTGTCGCTACTGCATGCACCAATGGCTGAAAGTGTCGAACGGGAGCATTGATCGTCGCTCGCGGTACTGTCCGCTGGATTTGTTTTCCGGCACTCGGCATCGCGTCGAGCGGGCGCTGCATTCGCTCGTTGATGTGCCGCAAAACAATGTGCGGGTGTTTCGAAACGGACGAGCTATTCTCACTGGAGACAAGGTCAGTATGTCAGTCGGATTGGAGCTTTGTATGGAGAGTTTTTTTTGATTCGGAAAATCGTGCCGACCTTTGGAGTTGTGGTGATTTTCAGGCTCCACCCGCCGACTCAAACTCAAGGGCCTACATTGCCGAGTTGGATCGCCATCTGGTCGATCTTGTGCCTGCCGCCGCAGATGATTCGGACGCACAGCCGCCGCACGTTCAAACATTTGTCTCGCTGCTTGCCGAGATTCTGCTGCAAGAGCCACTTCTTCAGCGATTACAAGCTGCCCAGCGCCTCGATCACCTCGACATCGAAGGGTTGAAAGGGTTGTATGATTCGGTGATTGAACGCCATCCCGTCGGCCAAGATCACTGGCTCTGGGACGGCCGGTTTGATGCGCCTGAGTGGAGTCGCGTTGTGCAGCAAGCTCTTGCTCGCTCGAGCACAGGTACACCCACCAGCCCGTCTCTTGCGTAGAATCCTTGGTGGCTTGCCTTTTTTTTTGTTCTTTGCCGTGCTAACACGTTGTTTGATTGGACTTTGTGGACGATGTCAGCGCCTTCACTGTCCGTGCATGATGTAGCTGCTCTCTCACTGGATGAGAAGGCTGCAATCATCGCCGAGTACCTTCTGGCAGCGACCGTCAAAGATTGTTCCATCATGGTTTCGGTTCAACGGTTGAGGTGAGTCAAGCTCGTTTGGATTTTTTTTTCTTTTTGGTTTGAGTGCTCCAGCAGCCGTGTCCTCAACTCCCCGATGCACGTTGCACTCGTCGTCCACAGCACGCCATCGGAAGATCCAGCGACGCATTTCAAGCACATCACACACTCTGGCACCCGTTTCCGGTATCACGTCGCCGTTGTAGACTTGGATCCAAAGCTCTTCCGCAACATTCCCAAGTACCACCGCGACGATGGCGAAATTGTCCAGCACTACATGGATCATGCAGACGACTCGACGTGCTACTGTTCCGGCCCTGCGCAGCCTGCTCAATGACCGTTGGTTGTTTGCTTTTTGTTGTAACTTTTTGTGTTGTTTCCACTTGTCCCCTCCAATTCCATTGAGACAACTGCCTACTGTACAATCCATTTTTATTTTATTATTCTTGTCACAACAGTCCCAGTCCTATTTTCACTCTTCTAAAATGTCGTCCGTCTTCACGTTCAACGTTGGCGGCGGACGACCGTCAGCATCAGCAGCCAGCGTCGGGGGGTCGACCGCGACCAGCAGCAACGCGAGCCGCCACACCACGCCGCCGCTCACGCCCCTGTCTGCAGCATCATCCGCATCGACGCCGACGCGGCCGACGACCCTGTCGCAGTCGCTGGCGATGGGTCGCGTTCCCATCTTCATGCAGCGTCCGCATACGCTCCAAGCAAACCTCGTCTCGCTGCTCAACGATCCCGATCCACAGGCATGATGATGATGATGCAAACACAGAACTGTTGCTCAACTGTTGAACTCGCACACACACGAAACGCACACACGATCGCAACAATGGATGATGGGTTGACTTGGATGTCAGCCGGATTGGACCTTCTGCTATGAGCGATGATGAGCTACTCTTCATGACTCTCACTCACTGATACAACGACTACGACTATTACGACTATGGGATGACACGACACTTGCATCTCAGTGCCATCGTTGCGCTTTTTTGTAATCACCCCTCAGCGACCGGGTGGATGAGCTGTTTGGTTCGTTTTGGACGTCCCTGTCAAAGTCAAACAAACCCTGACCGATCCCTTCAATGGAAGGAGAGGAGAAGGGGGGGGGGGTCCCATTCACCACCATCCACTCATTCATTCATAGTGCTGCCCCCCTGTGTTCCACTTTTTGTCGTGTCTGCTTGTTGTTCGGGCTTGCAACTAACCGTGAGTTGTTTCCTGGAATCGGGGTTTTTGACAGGCTCGTCGCGATGCGCAGTACATTTACACCAAGACCTGGGGCGAGAACTTCACCAACACGCCGACGCCACAGCCGACAATCGCGTCATTGTCATCGTCGTACTTGTCGTCGTCGTCTGCAAGCAGGGGATCGGGCACGAATGCCGCGGTCGGCAGCGGAATTGACGCTCTCCTGCCAGAAGTCAACCTGTCTCACTTTGAGGCGTACTTGTCAAAGACAGCCGAGGTGCGTAGCGTGGTCATTTGCGGTCAGAGTTTCATGGCGTGCAACTGCGCTGCTTATGAAGACGTGCTTGTTGTGATTGTGCGATTGTTTTTTTGTTTTTTGTTGTCAACTCAACACCTTGGAATGGCGCTCTGCTGCAGCGAAATCAACGGCGACTGCAATCGGCTGCAGGATGGAATGCCGAGCACCATCGACGAGAGTCTTCAGCGACGCTTTCGGCAGGAGGTTCTGTCATGTCTGGTGGGTTGCTTTTGGCTTGTTTTGCCCCAGCAAACGCGACCTGTCCCTCCCTCACCCCCTATCGTTTCTTGCCGTCAAACTGTCCATACAGAATTCACCAAGGATGGCGTGCCAGTGTTGAGTCAAGTTCCATCGGTAAGGTGGCATTTGCAGCACCATTTGATCCACTTACGACCACTGACGACGCTATTCACACAACACCACCGCTCTCGCACAGATGTTCTTTGAGGCACAGCTTGACATGTCCGATCAAGATGTTTTTGACACCATCATCCAAATTCCCTCGCTTGAGCATATTCGGGGCACTTCGCTCGCATCCAACTTGCAAGAGAAGGTTTGTTTCAAATCAAATGTTTTTTTTTTTAGAATGATGGCTGCGCTTTCCAAGTGCCAACCCACCATCTCACTCTTGTACACTGTCTCACCACATTGTTTTCTTGTCACCTCTGTTGACTGCGCTCCCGCATCAGCTCTCGCATTACCTCGACTTGGTCGAAATGCAACTGGCCAAGGCCGTTGCTCGCCGGTCTGACCAGTTCTTTGCCGCAATGCGATCACAAGAAGAGCTGTTTATGGAGGTTCACGACACGGTCAAGACAATCAAATTCTTACGGTAAGAGAATGTGCGCTATTTTGTCAGATTTGGTTTTGTTTCCCCGCAGCACGTGAAACTAACCAGGGATTGTCTACCTTGCCCAATTTCGACAGGGCGCGAGTCCAAGCGATTGACAACATGCTAACTGTGCAAGGTCTTAATATCGTTCGAATGTCCAAGAAGGCAGAGCGCATCCAACGAGTCCTAGCTCAGGTTTGGTGTTGCACACATTTCTTTCGTGTTTTGTTTCTTGTTCATTTGCTTGCGTGTCTCATATTGCATCGCCCTCTTTCACAGTTGCGAATAATGTCGACCGTCATGCAAACACACCCGACAGTCGAATTGCTACTAGCATCGTCGGATTTCATTGGCGCTTTGGATTTGTTGGCTACAACCCGCGAGGTGGTCAGCAGTGAGCTGAACGGCATACACAGCATGCGGTAAATCAATTTGAGGGGATGAACATGACATCCGTTTGCTATTTGGAGACCAGCTTGACTCATCCAGCCGCGTTGTGGTATGATTGTTGGTCCAGACATCTTTCGGAGCAACTCAAGCAAATGGAAGAGGATGTTGATATCGCGATGCAACAAGAGCTCCAAACCCTGGCGATCGAAGTCGCAACAAGTAATCGCGGCAACGTGTGGTCTTTGCGGCAGTTTGGTGCTGCAGCAGGTGAGTTTGCTGGTTTTTGTGTGCTTTTGCGAATGGGGCTGTTTGTCTCGCTTTTGGAATGTCATGATGGCCGTTCGCTCAATGTACTTGTTGTTCCACCAGATGAAAGACTGCCTCCTGCAATCTCGTTCGAGCAGCGAGTTGAGACGACGCAAGATCGCATCCTTCCCGTATTGTTAGCTTTGGTTCGGCAACGCAACTTTGAGTGCTTCATCGGGTATAAATCCCAGGTCCAGCTCAAGCTGAATGCGCTCATCAAAGATGTCAGTCGGATGTTGTTGATTTAGTTAGTCGATTGTCTCGTTGCGCAGTGTTCTCATTTGATTTTCACCCTGCCAACGTTTTTTGGCTACGCAGACGGTTGCCATGTTTGTTGCGAATGCGGCCGAAGATGCGCACGATTCTGGTGATGCACAGGCCAAGCCAAGGTGCGTTTCGGGAATGCATTGTTCACAACAGTTGCCGATGCGTCTCACCTCCTTTTTTTTTTAAAAAAACAATGTTTGGATACTTCCGCGTTTCACAGCAAACTCACAGACTCCATTCGGCACCTCACATTCCGACAGTGGATGCAGCTGCTTGACGCCGTGTTTGCGACGTTGGTCGACATGCTGCAGGGGCTGCGGGCGGTGCATCAAGTTATTGCCTCCGTTGCAACCGCCTGTGTGCGCGACGAGACTCCTCAGGGCGGCAAACCCGCTGCTTCTTCCGCCGCTGCCACAGTGTCGGCGTCCGCCTTGCGAAGACAGGGCAGCGAACTTGGGGCTGACGCTGGCTCGAATTCGATCGGAGCCACCGCCACCGCACTCGTCTCTCAGCCCCTCACTGCGGCTGCATTAGGCGAAATCCGATTCACGTTAACAGCCGCACACGCGCGGCGATTTGTCACAGATAGCGATGACATTGTCCGCTCGGCAGTCGAACTCGCTCAGCTTCGCTGTGGCAAAATTCTCGGAGTCCGTGCCAACCAAACGGATCGCTTGGCACCTCGCGACTTTGTCTCCTTCTACCAACTCGTGGACAAGTTTGTGATGGAGTGCGACCGTGTTGCCTCCAGTCCTTCCAACTCGCTTCGCTCCACCATGGCCGCCCAGGCCAAGCGGTTTATCTCGGCCTTCCACGAGCAGCGGCTCTCCACGATGAATGCAACGCTCGAAAACGAGCGGTGGCGTATCGTTGATGTTCCCGGTGAGTTCCAAACCCTGGCCAACGGCATTATTGAGCTGGCAGAGATGCCCGCCGACAAACGCGCTCAGTTTGCAGTTGGCGAACTGGGCGGCGCCGCCCGCCAAACTCTCCAGCATCCCTCCAAGCGGCTATCGCGAGCGGCCGACGACGACCTCTTTGGTCCGGCCAACTCGAACGGCCCAGCTGGAGGTGCCAGTCTGATGCGTCAACCGTCCATGGCCGCTGCCGATCTCGTGGCCGCCGAGGCCGCAGAGGCCGCTGCGGACGCTTCTGCATCGAGTAGCACTCTCGCGGCAGCCTCGGCGTCCGGGGTCACCAATCCCGTCCTGACTGTCGGAAATGCTACCTTCCGTCTGCCGAACTGCTCGCTGATGCTGACCAAGGCTATCAGCGACTACTGCCAGTGCGCACTCGGCCTTCCCGGCCTCACCACCGAGATTCAACGACGAGTCGTGGAGATTTTGAGGGTAGGGGCTGCCACGAGATGATGATGCAGATTTTTTTTGTTTTTGGTTGTAGAGCGTTGTTGTTGCCCGATCTGCGACTCACTGAAATGTGTGTTTCCACGCTGCCAGTTATTCAACAAGCGCACATGGGACTTGATTCTGGGTGCTGGTGCGCTCGAGCTGGCGGGTCTCAAATCCATCAATGCGAAACATCTCGGTAGACATTATGGCAGACATATTTTCGCGAGGCGGGGGCATGGGGGCGTCGGAAGCTCTGTCGCTAACCCCCTGCTTGATATGTTCCTTGAATGTCCTTCTCTTTTTTGCGTCAGGCCTTGCGGCTCAGGCGATCAGCGTGGTGCTGGAGTATCTCCCGTACATTCGTGCGATTTTGGCTGTCGGACTGTCTGTCAAGCAGCAGATTTTGCTGTCAGAGCTGGATAGCGTCACGCAAGATTACTTTCAGCACCGCGAGCAAATTTTCGACAAGCTGGCCATCATCATGGGAGCCGTGTTTGAGCGATTTTATGCTCCCGACTTTGTGCTCGAATCCAGCGAAGCAGACGCGGGGGTGACCGTCTCGCTCAAAAATGTTGTCAAAGAGACGGTCAAGCTGCACAAGGCCCTGTCAGAGGTGCTTTCTGCCAGCGACTTGGAGGTAATAGGCTGACGGTTGTTGGTGCTGGCAGGGTTGAAAGGGAAAAACTGACGCTGTGGTGTTTCGTGTTGCTAGATTGCAATGCAAAAGGTGTTTGGCGTGCTGAACAAGAAGCTATGCGAAGTGTTTGGCAAGTGCGACGCCAAGTCCAGCAACGGCAAGAAGCGGTAAGGCCGACCGCGCGTTGATGTTTGTTTGTCTGATTGTGAATTGTGCGCTTGACTGATCTTTCGCTGCATCTCATTTCGCTGCTTCCTCCCACCCGAAAATTCTTGCCGACAGTGCTGTTGCCGACGTAGCCTTCTTTTCGAGCCAGCTCGGCTCGCTGAGCCACGCAGGAGATGCAGTGGGCGACGACGCGCATCACTTTGTGCTGACCCGTTTCGGCTAATACAGTACATTTGATTTCGCGCCTCCTCCTTCCCTCGTGAATCTTCTTTCTTTTTATCAAGTCGGTGGTGGTGGTAATTCAATTCACGTCTTAAAAGCTTCACCGCGATCGTGATGACGCCAGTCACACGTTGATCACCGCGGGCGGTTTTCCTTCAAAAGCCGACGGTCCATTTTTTTCTATTTCCAATACGAACGTTTCGCATCTGTCATTGATCTCGTCCGTTCCCTTCCTTGCTTGCACTCCTCTTCCCCCTTCCCCCATCTGTCTCTCGTCCATCTCACTCATGACCCTTACCTCCGACACGACTCGCACACTGGACGGTTTCGGTCCAAAGTTCAATTGTCATGCTTTTTCACTCAACAGATTTGGTTTTTTCGGTTGAATTCTTTTGAGTCAACAAATCCAGTTACTCAGTCTTTTGTCTTCATCTTCTTCTCGCTCGCTCTCACCCCATTAGACACACACACTTTCACATCAGAACATGACGCTCGACATCTTCAAAGTCGGCCAGCAGCTCGTTCTGCCGGCTGCAGCGGCGGCGGTGTGCCTGACCTGGTCACTGACGGCGCAACCACATGTCCCTCCCACCTTCGCGTCCACGACTGTGGCAAACTCGGACACGGTGATCCCCGCGACGCCCCTCGCCACACTGCCCATCGCTGGCCGTGCTGTCGAGTTCACGCTCCCTGCTCTGCACTTGCCGACCGCGGTGCTCGCAGTCGCGCTGTACTACGTGTTTGGCTTTTGCTACACTGCGGGATACCATCGCCTCTGGGCGCACCAGGCGTTCGTCGCCCGTCTCCCGCTGCGTCTCGCGCTTGCTCTCGGCGGCGCTGCCAACTTTGTCGGCTCTGCACTCACCTGGAGCCGCGACCACCGTTCGCACCACCGCCACATTGATACCAAAGACGTGAGTGTGATTGTGATTTTGTCTCGTGCTCGTCGTTTTTTGGATTTTGGTTTGTTTGTTCCTATTTTTTCGCCTTCCCTTCGCGTCGAACGCCGCCCCGGTTTTCCGTGTTTTTGTCGTTTCGCTCGTGTTGATTCAGTCGTCGTTGATTGCGCTGCGAGTCGAGTCGCGCTTTGACGTCCTTTCGTTCGCTTTTGATTTTCATCCTCAGTTGTCAAACTTTTTGCCGCTGTTTCAGAATTTTTCTTTTTTTTTTTTTTGTTGGGATTTTTTTTTTTTTTTTTGTTGGGGTTGATTTTTTTTTTTTTTTTCCATCGTTCTTTTCTTCACGTTTTGTTCTTCTTTGATTTTGATTCACGTTGAAAGTGACGCGAAACAAAACGAAAATCAATCAAAAGCAAAAAGCAAGAAGCGGGAAACAAACAAACAAACAAAAAAAAAAAAAAAAAAAGCCAGCCAAAGTTATCGCAAACTCGGACGCTCAATCCGATCCACTCTCCAAACAAACACCAGCCAACTAGGAAACACAGAGGTGGCGGGGAAAATGACGCGAGAAAGAGCGAGCGAAAAAAAAAAAGCAAAGAAGACAAAAAAGCGCAGTCTCTCAGACGAAAACAACCCTCAGATTGCCATTTGTTTTTTGTGCTCAAGTTTGTACATTCGTTGCTTGGATCAAAAATTCTAGGACCCGTTCAACATTCAAGCTGGCTTCTTCCACGTCTACCCTGCAAGCCTGTTTGCTGCCACCAGCAAGATTGGCACCGCTGATGTGAGCGACTTGAAAGCGGACTGGATTCTCATGCTGCAGCATGGCCTGTACATGCCGCTGGCGATCGCTGTTGGCTGGATTCTTCCCGCGTGGATTGCTGGCCACTATTGGAACGACGCTGTTGGCGGACTGTTCTACGCTGGCGTTTTGCGCGCAGTCTTGTTTGCCCACATCCAGCGCTTCACCGACGCGCTCGGCCACACGATCGGCACGCAGCCATACTCGTCGCGTACGTCCGCTCGTAACAACGCCTTCTTGTCTTGCGTGACCTTTGGCGAGAACTTTTTGAACTTCCACTACGAATTCCCGCGCGACTACCGCATGGGCATTCGCGCCTTCCACATTGACCTGACCAAGTGGGTCTTGAAGGCTCTCAGCTTGGTCTCGCTCGTGCACTCGCTTCATACCACTCCATTGAAGGAAGCGCTCCTGCTGCGCGTCCAACGCAAGCAGGAAAAGCTGGATGCCATCAAGGCGGGCGTCAAGTTTGGACCCGAGCCTGAGCAGCTCCCAGTCATGACCCTTGCCGAGGTCAAGGCGCAGACAGGCACTGGTCGATCGCTCGTCATCATGGACGGACTGGTGCTGGACATGACCGAGTTTGTCACCGAGCATCCCGGCGGCACCGCCATTTTGACGCCCAAGGTTGGCAAGGACATTACAATTGCATTCAACGGCGGTGTCCAACGCCACTCGAAGGCTGCTCGCAACCTGGCCGCCCTGATGCGCGTCGGGCGGCTGCCCGAGCTCGAGGCTGCTTCCGTCCTTCGTACCGCCAAATCCGAAGGCGAGTCGACCGAGCATGCCAAGCAAGCATAGTGACCGTTATCCCTCCTTCCCCCTCCGCCGCCGCGAATTTGCTTTGGGCGTTTTGAAAAGCGCAGCAGTAGCCCAAAAACAAAATCGTGCTCATTCGTTGATATTGCCCCACCTCTTTTTGTTCTTTTCTTTTTCTTTTTCCAAATTTCTCACTGTGTCGTTGTGACTCTCTCTGTAATTAACATTTTCAACTGTACACACATATACTGTACACCCTGGCGTTTTCTCCCCGCTTCATGTCAAGGCTTTGCACCTGGAGCACAATCCAAAGTTTCAACTCCCAGTCTTTTATGACTACAATTCTACAGTACAGCGCAACACTCCCTTTCGTGTTCACTTTCTAATGGTCGACTCGAACAAGTCTCGCAGCTCTTTGTTGCCCGCGACGAAGGTGGAGAGCTTGGTGAGCTTCTCGACGACGTGCGGGGGCTGGCTGCTGATATACTGCACGAGCTTTGCGGGATCCTTGGCCATGGGTTGGATTTCTTGCATGAGCTTCATGACTGTCGGGTCACTGACATGCCGTGTGAGCTCAGCACGCGTCTCAGACGACAAGCGGAAGAGGCCCATCAGCAGCTTGGACGTGTCCATCCCGGGAATCCCTGCGCCGCCACCTGCGCCGGCTCCAGCGCGGCCACCGAGCGTTCCCAGCAGCGACTGTGCAAGCGACCACGCCGACTGCGCACTCCCCGCTGCGTCGGACGATGACGACGCCGTTGACGATGACGACGAAGCCACGGCCGCGCGTTCACTACTGCTGCCACTGCTGCCACTTGTGCCCGAGCTCACGACCCGCGCCTTGACTTCCTTGGCAGCAGCAAGACCAACGCCGCCCTCAGGAGCACCAGCACCAGCACCAGCACCAGCAGCAGACTTTGTGGCGCTCTCGACCACCTTTTTGCCAATCGCTCCGATAATGTTCTTGAACATGTTGGGTTGAGACTGAGACTGAGCTGACACGCTTAGCGTAGACGAGGCTGAGATTTCGGTGACAGTCTCGTCGTCGCGTGAATTTGAATTTAGGAACAGAAAACAAAAGCTCAGAAACGAAAAGCTCAGAAACTAAAAGCTCAGAAACAAAAAGCTCAATCTTTTTTTTTTTTCTCTTCTTGTATGGCTGAGCCAATGGACACTTCGGGGTCGCCCTTCAGCAGCAGCAGTGGGGACAATGCTCCTTCTGCTGCGACGCCAGGCACTGCAGTGCCATTCCCACTGAGCACCGGCGCGCGGCTGCAGGCACGCTGGCAGGACGGCACTTGGCGTAAGAGGGGCAAGCAGCAATGAGAGAGAGAGAGAGAGGAGCGAGACAGAGAGAGAGAGAGACCCCTTTGCAGCCTCACCGATCCGACGCTCAGTTGTGGGTCGCAGTGATTTGGCACAATGATGGGAGGGGGGGGGATGCTTTGGCTGGTTTGTGCTTTGGCGTGAGGGGGAAAGCGTCCGACAAGCCACGATGGACGCTCACTTCTGTCTCTGTCTCTGTGCTGCTGTTCAGATCGCGCCGAGATCATCGAGACGCGGCCGACGTTGGGAGACTACTACGTGCACTACATTGATTGTAAGCGGAAGATGCGCTTGGTGGAGGAGGCGATATGGGATGCGTCTCACCACGACACGACGACGGCGCTCTCACCTGCTGCTGCTGCCAATCATCCATTTGTCCTGCTGCTACTCCATGGTAGTCAATCGAAGGCTGGACGAGTGGGTCTCGCCCGATCGTTTGGACTTTGCCACGGTCGAGTCGGCTGAAGCTGCCGCGAGCACTCCAAACGAGCTCGCTGGAACTGGCTTGGAAAGATCGGCAATCATTGCATCGAGTGCAGCAATAGCCATGACCGGAGGCAGCAGCGCCATGGTGACCGTGAGCGCGGCTGGCACGACCATACCCGCCATTGCTCCAGAGCGGAAGATGACACGAAACATGCGCAAGCGATTCAACGAGGAAAACCACATTCCGAAGGTGCTGACTCGTTCTCTTTTTGTTGCTGTTGCTGTTGCTGCTGCTGGTGCTTTGGCTCTGCATGGATGGGATGGAGTTTGCGAGGCAGCGCGGGGGGGGGGAGGCGACCAGAGGCACTTGATGAGAACGTTCATTCTGACCACTTTGCTTGGCGTCGTCTGTGGTTTGCCGCTATTAGGCGCTAGAAGAAATGGATCCAACAACACGAGCGCTCGAGCGCGAGTACGAGGAGGTGACCAAAGTCAAATTCATCAACAAGATTCACATTGGCAGTTACGAAGTCGACACATGGTACTTTTCGCCATACCCAGACGATTATGGCAAGGTCGACAAGCTGTACATCTGTGAATGGTGCCTCAAGTATATGAAGTATGCACGAACGCTTGCCAAGCATCAGGTTCGTGTCAGTCTACGATTTGGCTTGGGAATGCTTGACAACACAACGTTGTTGGTTTTTCGTGCTGACCCTCCTTCAACAATTACCTTCAACCCATGCTCATAGAGCGAATGCAAGTGCCGCGAGCCACCAGGCAAGCAAATTTACCAATTCAAGACAAACTCCGTGTTCGAACTGGATGGCAAAGTGTCCAAGGTAGAAGTTTTTGTTGTGCCTGCTTTCTCTCCCTGCCTCGCTCCCTCCCTCCCTCCCTTCTGACGCCTTCGGCCCCGAACAGCCGCATTGCTAACCCCTTTAGACTTGCACTCATCTCACACGTTCCTCTCTTCTTGCTTTGCAGATCTATTGTCAAAATCTGTGCCTTCTCGCCAAGCTATTCCTCGACCACAAAACCCTGTACTTTGATGTCGAGCCATTCCTCTTTTACATTTTGACAGAAGATGACGAGGAAGGGCGGCACGTTGTTGGCTACTTTTCAAAGGCAAGTCTCGTCTGGATTATTTCGCGAGGTTGGTTTTTTTGTTTCTTTTGCCCATTGTCCTCACCTTTCAAACCTTCATCATGACAGGAAAAGATCTCTCCAGAAGGAAACAACGTGGCGTGTATTTTGACTCTTCCACCCTTTCAACGAAAAGGCTATGGCAAGTTGTTAATCGAGTTCAGTACGTACATGCCACCATTCGCTTCGTTGTTTTCGATTCTCCTTTTGCCCTTATTGACTTGCATCTGGGTATCGCGCACGTTCATCAGGTTACGAGCTCTCAAAGATGGAAAAGAAGGTGGGATCGCCCGAAAAGCCGCTGTCTGATCTGGGCAACTTGGGCTACCGAAGTTACTGGGCGTTCATTCTGCTGTCCAAGCTCAAGGAGCACAAGGGCATGCTGTCCATCAAGGAGCTCAGCAGGCTCACCAGCATCACACACGACGACATCATCACCACGCTGCAGTCACTGGGCCTTGTGCGGTACTGGAAGGGCCAACACATCATTAGCGTGTCTCTCCGCGTCATCGAAGAGCACTTTAAATCACCGCATCTCAAGCCACCGCCACTGCGAGTCGAGCCGAGTTGTTTTCGCTGGACGCCTCCTGAGCTTTCCAAAGATGGTTGAGTTTGTGATGGGCTAGCTGTATTCTTTGTTGTGGTGTCAACACTCCTTCCTATTCCAAGTACATTGCTACTGCCTCATAGTGCTCAGGCAAGTGTTAGGCTCCCAGAATATCCCCAGAGCGCAATCTTCCGAGACTCTCAGTCTCCATTTTTCACTTCCAAACACAAAATGTCGACTGCCAAGAAGAACCAAGGCGGATCCAAACCAGCCCGCAAACCAGCGCTTCGGTTTTTCCATGTCGACAGCGACGGCAACGACACTCGCCCATCGACGTCGACTGCATCCGCTGCACCGCTGTCGGACGTTGACATTCTCGGTAAACATTTTGAGCGGCTTTTTTTTTTTGAGTGCTGCGAACAACGAGCGTGATTTTTGAGTTTGTGGGACAATTGAATTGCATCCATGTGAATAGTGAATAGAGTGGAAGTTTGAAGTGTGTGGGGTCAAGGGGTAAGGCGGATTGAGAGGCGGATTGAGAGGCGGCCATGTGGAACCGTCCCCAGTACAAAGTCGCTTCGACCACCCCTTCCCCCTCTTGTCCACTCACCTTCCAATGTGAATGTGCATCGTTGTGTTCCATGTGTGTGTGTATTCTGATGATGTTGTGGCGTGCATTTGGAATCGTCGCTTTTGGTCCTCACAGCGGCCGATCTCGCTTCAGCCAGCAACGCACGAGGAGGCAAGCGACGCCACGAGCCCAGCGCCGATGGTGCGAGCAGCAGCAGCAACAGCAACAGCAACAACAGAAACAAGATCAAGGAGGACCCGGTCATGCTGCGTGCGGCCAAGCGGGCACGGCAGTACCACCGCGGACTCGACCAGCACGCGCAGGAAGCAGCCTCGCGTGGACGACCGACTGCTGCTGCTGCTGCCGACAGCGACGACGACGACCACGAAGATCAAGAGGGTCACGGGGATCAAGATGACCAAGACGACGAGGACGCAGACCCAGTCATCTCGATGGCAACCAAGGAGCACACAAAGCGTCAACAGAACGCGCTCCTGCAAGGCGTCATTGCAGTCAACCCGTCAAGCGCAGTGCCAGACAAGCAGTCGAAGGGCAAGGGCAAAGGTCCGTCCAAGGATCAGGACGATGGCCAGCCTTCGTTGAATAGCACGGTCAAAGCCATGTACAAGGTACGCCGATCGTTGCTCTGTTTCTCCTCTGCTGTCGATTTCTAACGCACCTCCGATGCTTTTGCTCGCGCTCAGAACGTGGATGACAAAAAGCTGAAGGCACGGCTGGAAAAGAACGAGCGCCAGATGTACGACTCGGCAATGAAGGCGGCTCGAGCTGAAGTCTTGTTGCCAGCGGAAGCAGGGTGAGGTTTACCAATCTTGTCATGATGTCTTTGTGCGCATGCCAACGACCCTTGCCACGCCAAATGTCTCAAACGTACTAATCATGCTGAAATGCTCACTCACTCTCTCTCTCGCCCATCTCACCACAGCTTCTTGGAAGCCGACGGTATTGAAAAGACCTACCAGTTCAAGCAAGCCCAAATCGCTGCCAATGTCGACATGAGCAGCGCCAATAAGGTGAACAGCTTGGTTTCGCGCAAAATGCAGCAACCATGCGCTTTCATCAATACTGACCGAGTTCTCTGGCTTGCAGATGTTTGAACTCGATCTGCCAACGCTTGGCCCGTACCGCATGAGCTACACACGCAACGGCCGCCACATGGTCATTGCAGGCAAGAAAGGCCACGTCGCTACATTCGACTGGAAGACTGGCAAGCTCGGCTGCGAGCTGCACCTCATGGAAACGTGCAGGGACGTCAAATGGCTGCACAACGAGACCATGTTTGCAGTCGCCCAGAAAAAATACGTGTACATCTACGACCATTCCGGCACGGAAATTCACTGCCTTCGCAAGCACATTGACGTCAACCGACTTGATTTCCTGCCCTATCACTTCCTCTTGGTATCTGTGGTGAGTAGTTCATTCGCACTCACTCATTTCGTTTGTTTTGCAGAGAATGTCGTCGAGTGCAACTCTGTTTCGTTCTCACGGTATCTCGTCGACTCTAGGGTAACGCTGGCTATCTCAAGTATCAAGATACATCTACGGGCCAACTTGTGGTGGAGCACCGAACAAAGCTGGGCTCTTGTGATGTGATGCGTCATAATCCCTATAATGCAGTCGAGCTTTTGGGCCACACCAATGGTATGCTCTCGGTCGCGAGGGGAGGGGGGGGGCAGGAAGGGGCGTTAGAACTGTAGAACTTTTCGCTTGCGATACTGACCAAACATGATTGCTCGCGCGCAGGCACTGTAACAATGTGGAGCCCCAACATGACCACACCGCTCGTGAAAATGCTCTGTCATCGATGCATGTGACTCGCAAGGCTTGTACGAGTTGCTTGACTTTTCATCCCGTGATTACCCCCACTTTCACGCACACCTACTCAGCTGATTTGCTCTCGGTGTTTCTTTGCTTGTTTGCTTACTGAGCAGGTACATGACAACGGCTGGTCTCGATGGGCAGATGAAGGTTTGGGACTTGCGAACCTACAAGGAGCTGCACTCGTACTACACCCCAACGCCCGCCACGTCGTTGGACATTAGCCAGTCGGGCTTGCTTGCGGTTGGCCATGGACCGCACATCCAGGTCTGGAAAGACGCGCTGGCCACCAAAGTGCGTTCGCCATACATGTCGCATTTGGTCGCCGGCTCGATTGTCAGCAACATGCAATTCTGCCCCTTTGAAGACGTGCTCGGCGTTGGCCATGCTCGAGGCATCTCGTCGCTGCTTGTTCCTGGCGCTGGCGAGGCCAACTTTGATGCTCTTGAGGCCAACCCGCTGCAAACCAAGAAGCAGCGCCAGGAGGCTGAGGTCAAGTCGCTCTTGGACAAGCTGCAACCCAACATGATCACGCTCGATCCATGGCAACTCGGAACCCTCCGCCGAAACGACGCAAACACTCAGATGGCCGCGGCTCAAGCCGCCGAGCAGGCCGAGCAAGAAGCTGGCATGGAATACGCACCTCGCCAGCGCTCTCGCGGCCGGAGCTCTACGATGCGTCGCTACATCCGCAAGCAAAAGAATGTTATGGACGAGAACAAGGTGTGCAATTTGCGCGTTGGGGACACTGGGGATGGAAGGGGAGGAGAGATTTGCGTTTGCCATTTGCTCAGTGCACTCAATTGTCGTTTGTGTGGTTTGTTCTCTCCGTCTATCTCTTTCTACTACGACTCTTCCATCAACAGCTTGCCCTCAAGACCAAGCTCGACGAAGAACGGAAAGCCCGTATTCAGCAGCAGGCTGGGCCCTCGGCTCAAGCGCCCAGCAAGCCCACCGCCCTGGATCGATTCTCGTTTACACGTCGTTAACCCACATTCTTGCCTCTTTTTTTTATAAACCGACATTTGCTTCAGTGTTTGTTGATATCTATCTCAATTATTGATTCAAGCAGTCACAACCCATACCCAACGATAGCGAAAACACAAAACACGACGCTATTCATCATCGCTCATCCTCATCACTCCAGTAGTAGTCCCGCTCTTCACCACTTTCGTGGTCAGAATGTTGGTCCTTGCCTTTGTGCTTGGTGAGGGCTGCACCAAGCTTCGCAGCAGCCGTGCTCGGGGTGAGCGGGGGCGACTTGGTCTGGGGACGCCCGCCCGTGGTCCGCTTTGTCGTCGGTGTCGAGGCAGAAGCTCGGTTACGTTTGTCTTGGACTTGGGTTTGACGGACGTAGCTCTCGGCCATATCGCGATCCACCGGTCGAAGCATCCCTGGACTGACGCCCATGGTGGAGGGCGATCCTGCAACCGGCGTGCGAGCCAGACTGGCACTCGACTGACGGTGTGTTGAAGGAGTGCGCATGTCGGCACGCCGGCTGGGGCGGGAAGACGCCGCAAAGTCGTCGTCGTCAGCATCCGGAGGGACCGAGGCAGTGACGGCCTTCGCAATTGCATCCTGCTTGAGCGAGAGTGTGGCTTTGGCCTTCCGCAAGGGCGACGATTCAAAGGCATCGTCCTGATGATTTTTGTTGACGTGGTCAAGCAAATGGCGAACTTGCTTTTTGCGCAACAACGAGCCCTTACGAGCGGTGAGTTCGAGAACGCCTGCTGCTGCTTCACTGCTGGATGACGTGGATGCCTTCTTGTCGGCAGCGGCCTTCTTGGTGGCAGCGAGCTTCTTTTTGCAGGCTTGTGGACGCCCGTGCTGGAGGTCATTTGGGCCAGGCATTCATCCGCTGTCCGCGATTTCACGCGCTTCGCAATGTGGAGCCAATACCGGGGTCGCGTTGGAACGACTGCCGCCACAGCCTTTTTCAGCGCGGCCAGTTCGCTTGCCGTCCAAGGCTTTTTCTTTGTCGGCGTGGTTGGGAGGCTGCTGGATTTGCTCAATTTGACTGGGCTGGCAGATTTCGACTTGTTCTTGCGGACTTTGCTCTTGTCCGTTCCAGCTTTGCTCGGGGTTCCGGGCAAGCTCGACGACAAAGCAGCTGCCGCTTCGGGCTTTGGCCCTTTCTTTTTCCTCTTGGGAGTGGCAAACAAGAGCTGAAAGTCGTAAGTCGTGTGGTCAATCGAGCCGGGGAGGAAGGCTTTGAAGTTTCCCTCAGTGTCGGTGATTTGTCGCTGATTTGCCCAGTAGGCCATTGGCGGCTTGACCGATCGACCACTGCTTGTTCGCGGAAGTGCCTCCGGTTGGAGCAGCGCCAACGGCGTCAGCACTTTCGCAGCCCTGCTCGGAGTGTCACTCGATGCAGCAGAGCTTGAAGTCAATGTTGTTGCCGTTGCTCGAGCGACGGCCGGATCGGCGTGCGCTTTCGATGCTTGCGGGGTGGCAGGCGCCGCCGCGTCTTTGGTCGTCGTGGCATGGGGGATGGCACGGGAAGCTTTTGTCACGGACTTTACGCCAGACCCGTTGCTTGAGGCTGTTGCCTTTGCACTCGAGGAGCTGGTAGCAGGTGCAGCCTTTCGAACACTGGATGGCGTGGAAGAAGCTGCTGGCGTGGAAGAAGCTGCTGGCGTGGAAGAAGCTGCTGGCGTGACAGCCAAGCGAGCCGAAGTTCGAGGCGGCGTGGTCGAGTCATCTGTGGTATCTTCGCTTGGTTGGTTCACCGACGAAGGGGCATCGGCAGCGGAGACAGGCGTGGTCTCGCTTGCCGTTGACTTGACGGGCTTCTTCTTGTGTGAATGGCGCGGGGTTGCCTGCTCAACCTCCATTGGAGTCGCATCGGTCGATGAAGGGTCGGTCTCGCTGGTCAAGCGAGGCTTTTTCGATGATCGTGCCGGAGAAGGTTCATTCGCCGCAGTATCGTTGCCAAGTGTCTCGCTGGCTGAATTGCCAGCGCGTTTCCGGGGAGTAACCGGCGCTGGATCAACTGCAGCAGCCGCGGGTGGTTGGGAATCGGCCGCGGAGGCGTCGGTCGAGCCAGCCGAGGAGACAGGCGCGCTGGACACTACTGCTTCTGCTGCATTCGCATGATGCACATGAAGTGGGAAGCTGCTGGCAGATCGTGCGAGCAAGGTTTGAGGCAACAACGGCTTGCGAAGCGCCGGCTGAGGGGATGAAAACTGCACTGACGGTCGCGCTCCATGCAATCCATGAGCTGCTTGTCCTGCGAAATGGGCAGGTGCAATTTTCGACAAAGCGGGGAATGGGCTTGCGCTTGTCGTGCCACGGATCTGAGGAGAATGGGGACAAAGCAACCAAAAAGGAGGGGTGAGATTTCCAACGCTTCCACCCTCCGCCTTCAAACCTGGAGAACTGAGATGAACAAACAAAAGAAGAAAAAATGACCACGGCAAAAAGGAGCAGTGTTCGGTACCTTTGGCAGAGGACTGATGCCGAGCGGTACCGCTTGACCAGTTGGGCGGGCGCTCTGCTGCTCGGCTTCCCCCGCAGCAGCAGCGCCAGCAGCAGCAGCAGCAACAACAGCACTCGTCGTGTGGCTGGCGGTCTTGCCCGCAGGGTGCGCGGCAGGGGACGAGCGGACGCCCGAAGGGGTCGGCGAGGCTTGCGCGGGACTGCCAGAGCGTCCGTAGCTCATCGGCGGGGCGCGCACGGCCTGTGGCTTGTGCAATCTGAAGCGATCGTGGTGCAAGGTGAGTTTTGACAGCCGGGGATCATCATGATCATCGAGTGAGTGAGTGATGCACTTTGACACATTGTCAAAATAAAAAAGAAAAATCAAAAGATTTTTGGCGCCAAAATCGCGCGCTTTTTGTTGTTTCGCGTTGTTTTCCATTCAAAACTCGCACGGTGGAGGGGATGTGTTGTGCACTTGTGATGCGGCGCAACAGAAGAAGGGAGCAACGTACGGAGGTGGCAGCTTGGCGCTGGACGACGACGCGGCCGTGGGTGCAGGGTCGTGGCTGCGGTGATGGTGATGGTTGGCAGAGTGAGACGAGTTGCTGCCGCCGCCGCCAAACGATGAGGGAATGCTTGTGCGAGAGGTGGTTGAGCATGCCCACAGCCACCGGTCGATGCAATGCGGCGGCGGCGGCGGTGGTTGAAGCAGTTGTGCCGTGAAAGGCAGCGCGGGGTGAGCCCGGTGCCGACGACATTCAGACTGCTCAGGAAGGATTGAAAGCGGAAACGACTGAGCCCTCAAGATTAGTTTGATAGGTTTTTCGGGTGGTGTGGGCGGCCGATGGCGGTTTAGTGCGATGAACCGTTCGTTGCTCGTCCGATTGACGAGCTAAAGTTGACCCGCACAATCCATCATCACACGGGCAAACTGGTGATTGTGCGAGTGAGAACAGACAAGCTGGAGTGCAACAACGTGAGGTGTGGGGCTGGATTGAACTGGAATGATTTGTTGTACAGCACTTTATCAACATTTGAAACACAGGTTTTGCAAAACAAAACCACGAAGGGAGCATGTCCTGTGGCCGCCAGTATTCTGTTCACTCAATACGGGTTAGCAGCCACCACAGCAAAGCTGCATGGCATCAACATTGCGGTCGTGGTGATTTGTTGGGGGGGGGGTCTTTGCGAACTTCAGGACTTTCGAACAACCCGATGGCAAGCGCCGCCGCCATTCTTGGCAAAGTAGTGCTGATGGTAGTCCTCCGCGGGATAAAAGACATCAGCGGCGGTGACTTCAGTGCTGATTGGCTTGGACCATTGCTTCTGCTCGGCTTCGCGCGAGGCCAAGGCAGCGTCCTTCTGCGCGTTGTCGACGTAAAAGATTGCCGAGCGGTATTGCGTTCCGTGGTCGGGACCCTGACGATTGAGTGTGGTGGGATCGTGATGGTCCCAAAAGACCTTGAGCAGCGCATCGTAGCTATATATTTGCAGATCATCAAAGAGTAAGTCTCAGAAAGTTGACAAAAACAGACAATGCCAGTGAAAACGACACACAAAGCATAACACGCTGCTCACCACCATCGCCCCCTTTTTTTTATTGCTTTTCTCCACAAGCTCATCATCGCATCCCAATCTCACATCACAGGTTGGGCAATGACGATGACCGGAAATTTTATGGCATGGTTGCGAACAATTCGCCGTTTCGGTGCGCGCAGACAACCAATAATTCTGGTGCCATTTCGTCCAGTCCAACCACTACCAACCACTACTACTACGACAGCAAAATAGCTACGCAGCTCACAACGCGTTTTGTGACTGAAAGGGGCCCTCCTCCTCCTCCTCCTCACCTGACGCGGGCGGGATCAAAGACAATCTTGACGGCCTCGGCGTGACCCGTCTCGTTGTAGCAGACCTGCTTGTAGGTCGGGTTTTGCGTCTTGCCGTTCATGTAGCCGACCGCCGTGTCGACCACGCCGGGTGTCTCGGCAAACAGCTGCTGAACGCCCCAGAAGCAGCCGGCAGCGACATACGCGGTCTGGGCGGTGGGTGGGATGGCGGACATGGTTGGAATCGATGCTGAAGATGAAAAGTACGATCGAAGCACCTGTAGCATGTAAGAGTGAAGGAAAAGACTGAGACAGGCACCTTACACCATTCCAATTCATAGAATAGTAGTACCAACAAATATCGCATATGGAGATAGCTGAATGAAATAATACTAGGAATGCCAGTTAGTTCAGTCTTCACTCCGAGTGGTCAAAACATGGACACCTCGCTTTGGCGAACTCACCACCCGTACCAGTCGATCATCCGGCAGCTCCACACTGGCGATGAGGTCTGCCGCGTCTTTGATCTTGCATCGCTCGATGAAGCGGCCTACGGTACGCAAAAACATCAACCGAAAGTCGCACGGAGCGTCTCAGACTGTAGCTGTCAAACCCTGATTTGTCAGCTTGCTGCTGTTTTGTTTCCGCTCTGCGTGTTCTGCTGATACTCTGTTGCAATTGACTGTTTTGATTGAGCACGGATCGAATGTTACTCTCTCCGATCACTATGATGACTGACTTGCTATTGTTCCGCTTTGCCGGTTTGCTGCTCTCTCTTCTTGGCTTGGCTTGCCGCGTATCTCAATTGTTCCCACACACACACACAACTCAACCTAGACCGACTGCCAATCATGCTGCGAATCGTGCTGGAATCGCTCGTCCGGCACTGCGACGGGCGGCTGGTCACCAAGGACGACGTCGAGCGCGTCTTGTATGCAGCCAGCACAAAACCACCACCAGAGCGAGAGACCGCAACAGCCACCCCGAGTGCATCCACGCATCACACGCAGTCGAGTATGGTTGCCACGCACGGCGGCGCAACGACCAAGGCAGCAGCAGCAGCAACAGCAGCAGCGACAGCAGCGGAGGCGGCTGCAGCGGCGGCGAATTCAGTCCACGCGGGTTTGTCGGAGCTTGTGGCAGACCACCACCACCACCACCAGCCACGCGCGGTAGTCGCCAGCGCTGCGCACGGTGCCAACTCGACACTGTCGGTCGTTTGGGAGGGCTCGGAGGGCTCGCCGGCAATGGCGGGCGGCGATGGCGTGGTGAGCATGCCGCGTCCACTTGTCTCAGAACTGGTCATCCCGTTTCTACCAGGGCGAATATACATGCAGGATCAAGCAGCCATGCCCGTGCTGATTGATATTGCTGCAATGCGCGATGCCATTGCCCGGCACGGCGGCGATCCGCGGTCGTTGAATCCGATTGTGCCGGTTGATGTGGTTGTCGCCGAGCAACAAGCTGCGCAGCCGGGCGGTCTTGGTACCGACGATGCTGCCGCTGTCGCCACATCCTTGGCCGGAACAACTGTTTCAGTCGGCAAAGCATCCTCCGGGAAGGCTCCGACGGAAGATATTGAAGCGTACGTTGAGTTTTTTTTTTTTTTTTTTGGCACCCTTCGATTTGGCTGACATTTGACTTGCCCATTTGACTCATGGAATGGCATGCTCATTTGTGTTTTTTTTGTTGCTGGATTGCTTGTTTTGTGTGTATGTGTGTCTTGCTTTGTGGACATGGATAGCGCCGTGACACCCAACATTTCAAAAGGTGCGGCGATTCTTGCCGAGTTTGACCGGAACACGGAGCGCTACCGTTTTCTCAAGTGGGCTGCAGGGAATATGCAGTACCTACGAGTTGTCCCACCCGGCACGGGCTTGCTGTTGAACAGCATTGTGCTGAGCCTCTCGCGCTCAATGCTCGTCCTGGGCCCGGACAATCGCGAGCTGCCCGAGTCACTCGTTATTCACCCCCGAGCCAAGCCGAGCCTCGCGTCCCTGCCACCCACAGCAACGCCATCAAGTCCAGTTCGTGGTTCGAGACGATCTTTGGTGGCGCCGACCGTTACTCCTACTCCCGGGAGCAGTAATAACGTGTCTGATCGCTCGCAGAGTGCGCCTCGCATTCAGCACGTCGCCAGAGATGGCGGCTTTCTCGTGATGGATACTGTTGGCACGTCTGATTCGCATGCTGCCCTCAGCAATGGTGCTGGTATTTTGACGGTTGCGGCCAACTGCGTCGATCTGGCCGCAATGGTGCTCGGTCAGCCCGCGGCACTACGGCTGCCCTCCATTGTCGGCTTTCGCATTTCTGGCACCGTTCCTACAATTGCCACCTCCACCGATGTGGTGCTGGCCATCATCAAGTCGCTCCGCGAGCACACCCTGGATGGTGCCTGCGTTGAATTCTTTGGCCCGTCCGTGTGCTCTCTGTCGATTGCCGACCGCTCCACCATTTCCAACATGGCGCACGAGTACAATGCCCAAATCGCCTACTTCCCGCCAGACGACGAGCTTGAACGGTACATTACGCAAGCAGGCAAATCCGATGCGTTCGCCCCCAAATTCCGCCAGTATCTGTCTGTTTTACGATTGAGCAACGGAGGCTCTGGCAGCACGCTTGGCGACGCTCGCAGTTACTGCAGGGTCATTCCGTTTGATCTTTCCAGTGTCCTTCCGTCGTGCACCGGTCCGCGAAACATGAGTGCTCGTGTTGGCGTCTTCCATCTCAAGGATGATTTTCATCAGGTGAGTGTTGTCGTTGGCTATGCAGATCATGTTGCTCGAGTAGTCTTCTTCCAGCCTTCCCCCGTTTGACAATGGTTGCCTGTTTTTTTAATTGATTTGCGGTGGCAGTGTTTGTCCAACCGAGATGGTTTCCGAGGGTTCAACCTCACCACCGAACAGCAAAAGCAGCATGCCGATGTTGAAATCAATGGCGAAATCCACCGGCTCGGTCACGGTGCTGTTGTGATTGCAGGCATCACGAGCTGCACCAACGCTACAAACCCGACTGTCATGCTTGCTGCAGGTATACGTTTAATCGAGCCGCTTGCTTGTGACGTCTTGGTTTGTTGTTGTTGTTTGTGTTTGTTGAGCGAGATTTTCACCAACTCCGAGCTGCCGCTTCTTGTGGTACCATGTCATTTGGCTTGTAGGATTGCTTGCACGCAAGGCAGTAGAGCACGGCCTGCGAATCAAACCTTATGTGAAGACGATGCTTTCACCCGGCTCCGGCTTGGTGACTTACTATTTGAATGAGAGCGGCGTCACGCCTTACTTTGAGCGACTCGGGTATGAATGTGCTCTTCGGGGGGAAGGGGTTGTGGGCACGCCATCGTCGCTCGTTTCCTTTTACTCAATCACGAGTCATGTTGAAATCAGATTCCCAATCACCGGTTACGGCTGCATGACATGTGTCGGAAATGGCGGCGCTTTGCACGATTCCATCGAGAGCGCCATCCAAAAGAACGATCTCGTCGTCTGTGGCGTGCTGTCAGGCAACCGCAATGTCGAGGGTCGAATCCACCCTCTCACAAAGGCCAACTATTTGGCTTCCCCGCCACTGGTTGTTGCCTATGCCATCGCTGGCACGATCGACATTGATCTTGAGCGCACTCCGCTTGGAACGTCGATTCTTACGGGACATCCCGTGTACCTCCGCGACATTTGGCCCTCCCGCGATGAATTGCAGCAGATTGAGCGTGCGCAAGTCCTTCCTGGCATTGTTGGCGATGCCGTACGGCGGCTTCAGGTAGGCATTTGGTTGGTCGTGTGTGATGTCGTTGATCCAATCTTTTTTCTATTTTTTTTTCTTTTTTTTTTCTGGGCTCGACGCTTATTCGCACTTCAATGCGCCCCACAGGCCGGCCACCATCAATGGGAGCAACTACCATTGATTCGCTCGCCTCTTTACTCTTGGGACCCGCAGTCAACACAAATTACTCGACCACCCATGTTCGATGCCATGGTAATGCCGAGCTTGTATTCCGCATGCTCTTGGCGCATCATCCTGCCTTTTTTGACTCACTGAGCTGCACTCTATTCTCATGCAACAGGAGGAGCCAGCATGGGAATGGCAGGACCTTCAGCATGTTGATATTCTCGTAAAGGCGGGTGATGCAGTATCAGTCGACATGATCTCTCCATCCGGTCACATTGCAAAGGCCAGTGGAGCTGCCCAATTCTTAACTAGTCGAGGGTGAGTTGTTGGATGTGGTTGGCAGTGATGTTTGTTTTTGCTTGTTCGGTTTTTTTTCTGAACTTCCTCCCCTCGCTTTCTTTTTCGGTTTGTCAGCCTCGCGCCTCGTGAATTTGCTTCGTTTGGTGCCCGTCGTGGCTGTCATGAGCTCATGATGCGGGGCACCTATTGCGGACTCAAGTTCCGCAACGTGTTGCTCGAGAACGTTGTGGCTGGACTTCGCAGCATCGATGCAGTGTCATCGTCTGCGACCGTCCCTGCCGGCAGCGTTTCTGTGGGAACACCTCATGTTAACAAGGCGATCGGAAATTGGCTCGCACGGATGCCCGACGCACACGCACGCGCTGCGTTCATGGCGCAGCTACAAGCAGCGATAGCTGCGCCTGCTCAGCAAGGGTGCAAAACCATACACACACCATCCTTGACCGTTCTTGACATTTGCGATGCTTCTGCACGATACAAGAGCGACAAGATCTCTCGATTGCAGCAAATTCTGAACAAGCGTGCTGCCGCGGCGGGAATTAACGTGGCTGACATTGCGAGCTCCTTGCTGACTTCCTTGCCACAGGCTGCTGTGACTCCAGTGTTGGCAGTTGTCGCTGGCAAGGACTATGGCGGGGGAGCTCCGCGCGAGTGGGCGGCTCGCGGCCCCTGGTCGGTTGGCATTCGCTGCATTCTCGCCGAATCCTTTGATGACGACCATCGTCGCCACCTTGCGCAGATGGGCATTCTTCCTCTCCTGTTGCCTTCCAGTGCGCTGACTGAAGAAAGCCGCGGTCAGCTGGCTGCCTCTCTGTCGTTTAGCGTTCGTTTGGTTCAACGTGGGGAGGACTGCCAGCACTGCCATTCCTCGGCAGGTCTACCGAGTCCTTCAAGTACACCCAGCCCTCTGACTGGGCGAACCGGGAAGCCCATATTGCCGCCGCGTGCGAAATTCCATGTTCAGGTGAGACTTGGCCGTTGTTTTTTTCAAAAGGGTTTTTTCCGCTTTGGTGTTTTTGGAATGGAGTGTTTGTGACATCTATGGGTGCTGACCATGTTTTTTTTTTTTTCGCTGTACTTGCGTTTTTCGTCGAATCAACGAACAGTTTGATACTGGCTTGGTTTTGCACTGCTCAAGCGCGCTGTACACTATTGCAGATGTTGCCTACTATTGCCACGGTGGCTTGCCGCGCCTTGTTCTGTACACGCATCTCAACCCAGCCAAGCTTTGGTGATGCCATTGTTGTCTGGTGTTTTGGGAATGCTCCGTGTATGTTGATTCAAGCGTTGCGTAAAGCTGTTGTTTACTGTATGCGTTCAATATCAAACCTGCGCATTGATTGCTGGCATGGTATGATGAAATTGCTGCCCACATTTTCGAGACCACAATTAGTTTTTATATTAGGAGTCGAGGACGACAGACAGTCATTTGTACTTGTCATTTGCTTTGCTGCAGCTTTTGGAGATGAAACCGGACGACAACAAGTACAAGGACGACCGTCGCCGTGCAGCACAGGTCAAGAGCCACGCCGCGTCAGGATCTTCCCCCAGCGGCAGTGGCAGCAATAGCCACAAGACGTGGGAACAGCAGCAGCAGCAGCAGCAGCAGTAGTACAGCTGGCGGTGCTTCGGTGAGCGACCGCCAGACCGAGCAAGGCAGGCGACCAGCCTCAGCGACCAAGCAGATGGATGACGAGGAAGCCGAGGCTGCGGCTGCAGAGCGGCGCAAGTACCAAGCGCGTCCCAAGACGAGCAACTGGGAGAAATACGACAAGACAAGTTGCGTTCAGAATCTGCAATGGAAGTCTGTGGAGACACTCATGTTGCTCACAATCGCTCTGGAATTGCGTTTGATAGAAATGGAAATGCTCCTGGATGATCGTCTGAATTTGGATTTGGTTGGTGCGGATTATACGAGCTTGCTACAAGCACAAGCAGGTGAGTCGTCGAGCTGAACAACGTTGAAGGCCAACCTTTATGTGCTAACTTGTCCTCCCCCATGCACTCTGCGGAATACTTTGTAGCTGTCATGCTGCCCGAGGAGGCGTACTTTCGCTTCAAGGACGAGCAGGTGGCCGAGAATCAGCCGACACCCGCCGATTTCGATGCTGTGAGCCAGTGAAATTTGTTTTTTTGTGCTGTGTTTCTTCTACTTCTGCATCTCCAACTAACCAAAGCCAAATCAACGCTTGGCATGTGCAGGATGCAATTGCCTTGCTATCTGTCAACAGCCATGCAGTCGCCTCGGCACTGGCAACCTTGCCATTACACGTCCAACTGAACATTGACTCTCGCTACTTTGAGGTAGGTCTGATGGCACTGTGTTGGGCTTCAAAGCTTGTTGAAGCACGACAAACGGGTTGTTTATGCTCATTGATTTGCTGCTTGATGGCAAAGCGTGCACTGCTCGACGATTTCGAGTTGGAAGCGCAGTCCAATTTGACAAAGTGGAACGAAGCGCATCCTGCTCCCGAAGTGGAACGAAGCGCATCCTGCTCCTGTGCCTCCTGCTCAAGCGGCCGCCGCCGTGTCAATAGCACCAACTCATAGCGCAAAGCCCGTTCAGAAGCCAGAAATAGCGCAGCCCGCGACGCTCGCACCACCATCCTCGATCGCGGCGGTCGTGCCCAAGCCCGCCGAAAGCGAACTGGATGAACTATTGGCGCTAGACAGCGGTCCTCCTTCGATCAAACCGGCGGTAATTCCGACTGCCAGCGTTGCTGGGTTTGGCATTTCATCCGCAGGTACGAGATGATTGCACTTGTTTTGAGGTTGCTTTTGGTTTGGTGTGTGGGTTTGTTGTTTGTTGGTTTGAGAGGCGTTGTGTTGATCATGACTGTCATGCTTTGTCAGGTTCATTCATTCCAGCAGTGCCGGCAGTCGTGGCTCCAACATCGTCTGGAGGACGGACTGCAGACGATGACTTTTTGGACGAGTTGTTAGGTGCTTGAAGTCAAACAGCGGAGGTCATGTATGATAAACTGTATGCTTTTGTATTCCTTTTTTTTCGTATCTTGCTTGAAGCAAGCGCGAAACACGGGGCTAGCCGCTTGTTTTGAAACGCTGCTTTCGTGCAATTTTTTTTTTTTTTTTTTTTTTTTTTAGTTAGCATCGTTGCAACACCACCCAAACCTCCCCCCCCGCGCCTCCGTGCCTTTGAGCATCATCTCTACCACAAGTCAACAGCATACGCATGTGTGCAACGGTTGGCTGAAGGCGGAAGGCGCTGGGAAGAGCGATGTGTGGATGTTTCAGACTTTTGGAATGGGCGGATTGGGCTTGAATTTGAAATCTCCCGCCAAACGAGATTCCAAATTAGTCGCTCCAACTCGATCTCTGCCTCTTTCCTTGGGAAAATCCCCTCAATTTCAGGCCTCCTTGCTCTATCTATACATTCTATCGCATCGGACGACGCTGTATGGGTTGCCAGACTGACAGGTGCTCGTTCGTGCAGAGCTTCAATTTTGGCGGGAAAACGCATTTTTTTTTCACTCTTTTTTTTTTTTTTTCCCTTTCGTCCACTTTGTGTTTTCTTGTGAGTGCGTTTTCGCCACGCGTCGCCTGTTCTGACTCACTCGCTGAACACACAACTCCTTTGCTCTCATTGTTTCCCTTGAGTCGGGGGGAGGGGTTGGTCGTTTGTGCTCCGCTGGGCACTGGAGGCCCCTTGCTTCCATCGCTCTCGGCTCTTCGCCTGCCTCCACGAAGCTGCTTCTCTCCCTCTCCCTCTCTCTCTCTCTCTCTCTCTCTCTCTTTCTCATCCATATTAAAGTGGCTTGCATTCGTGTGCTGCTCTTATGTCGTCTCTCGCTTTCACAGCGCGTTGCTTGACTCGATTCGCTGCTTCTGCTGACTTATTGCTGACTTATTGCCTTCAATCTCGCAGACTACAATCTCCAACCAAGTCCATCCGTCTTGATTTCCAACGTTGCATTGCACGCGCTGAGGATTCCACATTAAAGTCTAGCCGGAACGGTGGAGCTTTGCAATCCGATCTCGTCCCTCGTGCCGCAAGCTGCTTCTCGTTGATCCAACCAAAGGCACCAAGGCCTGGATCGCCATCTCTTTGACTCTGCCTGCAATTTTTGGAGCTTCTAAACATCGAGGAGTCGACCTGCGGGTTAAATCAGCTCAGACTAGCGTCCATTCAGGTGCTCAGGGAGCTGTTGCGCAAAATGGGAATTCAGGGCTTGCTTCAAGTGCTCAAATCCATCGGGCAGAAGACGCATGTGCAGCAGTTTGCAGGTCAGCGCGTCGGCATTGACGCATATGGTTGGTTGCACCGCGCTGCATACGCTTGCGCGGCCGAGTTGGCGCAAGGCAGGCCGACCGATGTGTAAGGCTTCTGCTCAACAAGTGTCTGCAATCTCGTGCTTGTCATGCTTATGGGATGATGTGGGTGGGCTTGTTGGACAGGTTTGTCAAGTCGTGCATGCTGCGAGTTGAGATGCTTTTGCATTACAAGGTCATCCCAGTTCTCATTTTCGATGGAGCGCCTCTCCCTTCCAAGCGAAAAACCGAAGAAGAGCGACAGCAGTGAGTTGACTGTTGTTTGAGTGCTGAATGTTGTATTTGAATGAGGCGGAGAGGCGCGGGGGGGGGTGGCAAGGGCATTGTCGCGGTTTCTCCCTTTTCGCGAGCAACTCAACTCTCTCACTCCATTCCGCCATGCAGACGACGGGACTTTTACACCGCCCAGGCAGCTGCATCGCTCAGAAATGACGACCATTTTACTGCTTATCGGCATTATCAAAAGTGCGTTGACGTGACGCCCGAGATGGCACTCCAATTCATCAAGGCAAGTCCCTTGATAAAAAAAAAACGTTGAGCTGTTTTGAGGAGAGGTATCCAATCATGTTCGTCGACTCATCCGTTCTCGCTTTTGTGAGATAGGCTTTGCGAGCAATCAACGTCGAGTACATTGTTGCTCCCTACGAGGCGGACGCGCAGCTTGGCTATTTGGCGCGCGAAAACTACATTGCAGCAGTCATCTCAGAAGACTCTGACTTGCTGTTATTCGGCTGTCAACGCGTCCTATATAAGATGGACAAGTTTGGCGAAGGTGTCCTGATTGATCAGAAGGACTTTGCAAACTGTTTGGAGCTTGACTTGCAAAATTGGACGCTGGACCAGCTTCGACGCATGTGCATTCTATCCGGTTGTGATTATCTGGATTCCATCAGTGGCATTGGTCTCAAGACGGCCAACAAGCTGTTGATACGGTACAAGACCGTTCAAAACGTAAGCTCGGTTTGTTTTTTGTTTGTTTGTTTTGTTTTTGGGCGGGCGAGCATTCCTCTTCACTTCATGACGCAACCCCGTCCTCCCTCCCCTTGCCAGGTGGTCACCCATATGCGCAAAAAGATGATGGACGTCCCACGAGATTACGAGGATCTCTTTTTGCAAGCAGAAAACACGTTTAAATACCAGCGCGTCGTTCATCCCGGATCTCTCGAGCTCACACACGTCACCCCTGTTCCCGATGCCGTCGATATTTCTCAGATGGACTATATTGGACCGTAGGTTGAATTGGGCCTGTGTTGTTCAGTGGATGGGCGCCTTCTAACGGTTTTTGCTTTTCTTTTTTGTTTTTTTCTTTTGCTTTGTTTGTTTGTTTTGTTTTTTGGTTCTTTGCTGGTGATTCTCAGAATACTCGAACCTCATGTCGCACGAGGAATTGCGCTGGGAAATATCAACCCCAACACAATGGCTTGCATGGATAACTATGATCCAAATGCAACCATGGTGGTCAGTTCCAAGGAGGTTGTGGAAACAGATGCTGACTCTTGTGCTGCCCCATGTGCCAACACTGAGCCTTCATCGACCCGCCTGACCATTCCCAAACCTATGTGGATTGCTCCAAAGGCGTTCAAAAACCGCTTTAGCGCTTTCAGCGCAACAAGCAACCTGGCGCCTTTGCAAAATCAGGCATCCATTCTTCAATTCCTCAAGCCTTCAGAAGGTGCCTCCAGAGGGTTCAAGGCACCTGCACAAGCGCCAGTAGCACCACCGGCGTCGCCTCCGGCTGGAGATGTGCCAATCACTCCTCTGCGAAGGTACCCAGCCTCCGACGCCCAACCCCGCATTTCCAAGCAATCGGCCGCCATCATTGGCTCGTTTGCACGAAAGCGTACTTTTGAGCAGGCTAGCTCCGATCACGCCGAGCAATCGGAAGACCAATCCGAATCCGCGGCACAAGCGTCGATGGCAGAGGAAGAAAACGACGAGGATGTCTTCTTGTCGCCCGAGCTCGCTCAGGAGGCCTTGATGCCAAACGAGACGGCGGATCCATCGTCGGCTGTCAATCTATTTGGACCAACCTGGTTGGAGGACATGCGCACCTACCTGGTGCACCAGCACGAAGAAGCTTGTGAGGCTGAAGCTGTGGAAGCTCCTCGCTCGGCCAAAAAGCCCAGACACGAAGACTTCTCCCATACCCCAGCGTCTGGTCGCAGGGCATCGAGCTCTGCATCATCTGAAAAGAGCTCGTCGGCTGAACGCGTGCAAGTAATTTCGCGATTTTTTGCACCGACGCGTACAACGGCTGCAGCCGGCGCGGCAGCAACAGCAACAATAACGACTCACACGTTTGCCGCAACAACCACCACGTCAGCAACAAGGATGACGATCGCAGAAACGGCGTCCGTCACCACCGTCACAAAACCCAAACCCGCCTCCCTTGCAATTCCAAGTCAATCATCTTCAACCATGGGCCTGCCACCAGTCAATCATCAACACCTGTCGGGCGTGGCTTCCTCGTCCTCGGCATCCTTTCTGGCAGCCCGTTTCAACTCGAGCGATCTGCTACTGTCAGAGTCAAGTAATGTCGATCTCTTTGGCGAGCCATCGCTCTTGGAGCATAGATCGCAATCCATGAGCGGCCAGCAGACAGACGAGGAAATATTTGCGGATGACTCGCGCGACAGCTCTGGTCAAGCCGAAGAGCAAGAACACTTGGCAAGTTCATCTGTTGCAGGCGCGGAAGTGAGAGTGCAGGCGGCTCTGGACAGTGCAGTGGACACTTCTCAGCGGCCTCTGTGGGACTTGCTGCCGACGCAAACCACGGCTCCGCCGCGCTCTTCCTATTATCACTCCAACCGAGACTCGGATGCCGCCGATGAAGAGGACCAAGCAACTCCCGATGAAGAGATTTTGGACGACGACATGGCTGTGAGCGTCGACCTCAACGAGGTGTACAAGCGAGACCGCAGCAGTCTCGTCGACAAAGGCGACAGCATTCAGGTGGACAACTCTCAGCGTGCATCGCCAATGGCAGCAGCAGCTAGCTTCAGTTTGTTCAGCGCAACCGTTCCCTCTCATGCACAGTCTGAGCACTTGCAAAGTGTCGACCACGCAGCCCATCCGCCATCGCGGGACTTGTTTAAAACCCCGCCCCGTGCTGCAGCAAACGCCGCCGTTGCAGCGCCAGGCGACTCTTCTTCGCCCCAAATGCGCTGGTTTCTCACGCCGCCTCAACGAGTGTCGCCTGCTGCATCTCGCTCGCCGCAGCGTAATGCATCGAGTGGTTCACAACTTGATGCTCCGCCACAGCCTTCTACGCTCAACTTTTTCGACAACACGTCCGATTTACGCAATGCTTTTGCCCACCTGACCGGGTCCGAGCCTTCCGTGGTCCACGCCGAGGTGCGCCGACAAGCCCTTGAGGCTGCACCTGGGTCTGCGGTGGTCCGGAATGCGCGCGCTGCATTGTACACGTCGGGTCGTGGGGAGTCTCAAGCTCCCATCTCCAGTCATGAGAATTCAAGTACGGATACCAGCGGCAAACCGTCGCCTCCCTTGGAACCCCATGCTTTGCTCGCCCGGTCCATTGCAGAGGCTGCCGCAGTCCAAGCGAGACGAAAAGCCAGTCCATTTGGGCTGCGACCTTCCCTGGCGAACGCTGCCACCAGTGCTGTCAGTCCCGGAGAGTCCTCCAAGGCCATTGCAATGGGTGGCGATCCTGAGCGCTTCAAGAGCCCGTTTGTCAAAGAGCACGGACGCATGCGACCTATCGGCCTGGCGCGCCCTGGCTCCAGCAGCGCGCGAAAGCATTCCAAGTCGGCCTCGCTTGCTCGCCTTCCTCTGCGCAACGTTTCTAATGATTTGGAGTCGACCAGTGATGTTGAAAGTGACGACGAGGAAGCAGTCGCTGGCCAAGCCGACGAAGCCGCCACCACCACCGCTCTTCGATCTTTTGTGCAAAGTTTCTCTTACAACCGATCGTCGCAGCGATCCTTGTCGCAAACCGGATTTATTTTTCTTCTGTGCAACATAATATGCCACTATGAACGCTTGTAATAAACTGTAATAAACTCTTGCAATCCAGTGATTTATTGTTCATTGTCCTGATTGTCTTGGGGTTCTTCGACGTCATCGAGGTCAGTCTCGACCCCTGTTTGACCGTTGATGTAGGAAAACTCATTGGAAAGGCCAAGTCTTTTGCGCAGCTCAATAATAACGTCCAACAGCTTGAGCAGTTGACCGACTGTCAGGTTATCTATACAATGCGACGGCGGAATGCCCAGCTTGATCAAATCAATGTCATGGCCAGGACCCAGTTGTCTGACACCATCCAGCGAGTTAGTCAATACCGTTTTTTTTTTTTTTGTTTTTTTTTGTTTTCCACGCCACAATTGTGTTTCTGAAAAACAAAAAACGCTCATTGTTCGTACCGAATACCGCGCTGTACTGATTGCCGACCGAGTCGTAGGCAGAGCTCGCGAAGGATCGTGAAGTGGTCAATCGTGCGTAGCAAGCTGATGGATCTCGGAACGAGCCGAATGAGGCATCCTGGTGCTGGCGGGAGCGTACGCTGGAGTAGCGACGAAAACAGAAAAAAAAAACAAGAAAAAGAAAACAAAACAGTGAGCAGCAACGCCAATGGTTTTTCTTTTGTTCGTCCATGATCCAGAATAAAGAAGAGAACTTGCCCCGAAGCTGGTGTGAAATTCGGCGACTGGATAAATGATGCTGGTTGCTTCGAATAATAGCATATAAGTAATGTCGATATAGCTGTGCGACCCGACAATGGTCGAGTCTGTCACGGGCGCCACGGTCCCGTCGGGCCGCGCTGCAGTTAGGGTGCAGGCAAACTTGCGGACATTCGCGAGAACGGTAAACGGAATCCGGCCAAAGTGAAAAATGCCGCGACGAGCAATCAAGTCTTCCAGCAGTTTAACTGGCGCCCATCGCCCCCCTCCTCCAACGACTTCCACGGACGGCTCTGTGTGCAATGTGAATTCGAGGATATCGACGAATAAGCAAACTCCCACTTCAAATGCAGCGAGCAGAGAGCCCCAAAAGAAAAGAAGGAGCTTCAGTTCCTACCCTCATCCCAAGAGCGTTTGGGTGCGTTCCAGAGTCGCTCTGGTAGGATGGGAGTGTCCAAATCCCGTGGCCAGCTCGTTTGCCAAAGCGCGAATCGGTGGTTGGATCTCTCCGCCAGCTCCTACTCGAACAGCACGGGCTCGATGAGTCAGCGCGACACACGGTTTCAGGTCGGGATCGAGAAGCAGGCACGTCCTTACCATGTAGTGCCCCATCACTCCACTCGATTGGTTGGTGCCAAGCACATGGGCTGCCCCCTTATTGAGCAAAAGTCGGCTAACAAGCCCGACACCTAAACCCAGCGTTGGGAATGAAACGGCCAAAAAAAAAACAAACCAAAAAAAAAAAAAAAAAAAAAAAAAGGTGGGCATTACAGACCACCTTGTAATCTTCCTCCCTCTCTTCCCCCCCCCCAAAAAAAAAAAACATCAGCAGGCCTCGTACCACAATTGACATCAACAAAGGTCTTGCCACGAACATCCCCGAGCATGTTCACCAGCATCTCTGTCCCAAATCCAAACCAATAACACGCAGAGGCGAAAAATGAGTCACTGCGCTGTCTCGGCGTTGTCCCGGTGTGCAACTTGTTTACTCAACCTGCTACCAGTGGCGATCTGATTGTATCCAGGGGATGCTTTCGTGCAAGGGCGCGCTGTCTAAGTTGTGGAGAAAAACAAACCATTGAGAAAAAAGTCAGTGCGAGTTCTGCGCAACAATCGTCCCCATCACAGAATCTGGCCATACCGACTGTCAAACATGAGCGTTGCCAGTGGATTGAATGGCGGAGCCTTCCCAGGTGGCAGTGTGCTTGCAGCAGCAGCAGCAGCTTGGCTCGCTTGGCTCGCTCCGGATTGCACATGCGCCCCGTCCCCGTCCGTCCCTGTCACCGCCGGGCTCGGGGTAGCCTCGCTCTTGGTCGTGGACACTCTTGATCGACTGGACGCCTTGGTGGGTGCCTTTGCCTGGACCGTGTCCGGGTCGGTCTCCTTGGTCTTGGTCTTGGTCTTGGCTTTGACCTCAGTCTCGGCCTTGGTCGTCTTGGTCGTCTTGGTCGTCTTGGTCGCTGCAGCCAGCATTGCTCCACCAGCAGCCACCGTGCCGAGCTGCCTGGTCGCCAGACGAGTGTCCCGCAGCAATGCAGATCCAGCATGCAGACTCGCTTGGAGCACGAGTTGTCCTCATGGTCATCATGGTCTGCAGCATCAGAATGGCCGTTCTTGAAACTGAGACTGAGACTGAGACTGAGCCAGACAAACGAATTATTCATTCAAGTCGAACTCATCCATTGCATGCAGAGCTGCCCCTCAAGCAGTCAGGTTCCGATTCAGCTCAATTCCGCTGATCTGTGCTCAGCAATCCGACCGGTCTCTCGTTCATTCCCACTGTCGTCTCAAAAACATCAAAAAAGACGCACAAAACAAGTCTCAAGTCTGAGTTTTGATTTTACTGTTGTTTATTCTTCTTTTTCTTGGTTTCTTTTTCTTTTTTTCTTTTTTCCCCGCAGCGCTCATCAGCTCCGATCAAGATCTTTGCCAATCGAAGTGTGTGTGCGTGCGTGTGATCATCAAGTAACAATGGATCCGCTGTTGGTTGGACCGGCGCTGGTTGACTTTCTCGCGTCCACGGCGCCTGCGTTGCTGCAAGTCCATGCCGAGGTGCCGCGGCGACCAGAGCACGACGTCCGCCTCGATGCTCTCACTCAACAACAACAGCAACAACAACAGCAACAGCAGCAACAACAACAGCAGCAGACGCGGCCGAGCGCACGACAGCTGGAGCGAGCAGCAGCGCGGCCAAAGCTCAAGACGGCGCTGCCAACCGCAGTCCAGAGCTACACCGAGTGCATTGCTGCGATTCGCCGGCAGCAGCAGCAGCACAGACGCGTTGACAAGCACGCCCAGCGACCGCCATCAGCCGCAGGAGGTGCAACGCGAGGAGGAGGAGCAGCAGCAACGCAAAGTGCACTGCCCTCGGTTTCAGCAGCGCGTTCTTCCACAGCCACCGGTGCTGGTGCTGCTGGTGCTGCGGCTGCTCGTGCTGCTGCTGCTGCTGCCTCGTCAGACATGGCCACGGATGGTGCAGCCACGACGGCAAACACCCCCGCACACGCATTGCTGCGGACGCTGCTGGCTGCGCATCGCCGAATGCAGCAGCAGGAAACCGATGACGCCCGTCAAACGGGTGCCTCCGCTGCCTCGTCCTCAACCCCAACGCCCATGGCTGCAACTGCTGCAACAACTGCTGCTACGGATGCAGGCACCCGAGCTGGAGGCCGAGCGGGCGCTTCGAGTGCGCGTCATGCCTCGAGGACGGCTGCGACAGCGACGACGACGAGGACGACGGCTTCTACCGCTGCGAATGTGGATGACGACGATCGTCAGGATGGCTCCAACGATGAGCAAGCCATGGTCGCAATGCATGTTTCAGGTCATCACGATGACAATGATGATGATGAAGAGGACGACGACGACGATGACGACGACGAGGACTTGTACTACGACTCGGAGGATTTGCCGACGCACTTGGGGCATGGCGCCTCCCTTGTTGCGGGTGATGATCGTGACGATGACGATGATGATGATGATGATGATGATGACGAGAACGACGAGGAGGAGGACAATGGCGATTACCCCTGGCTCAACGAAGACGACGACGATGACGATGACGCCTTTGACGAAGAAGACAACGACGAAGACAACGACGAAGACAACGACGAGAACGAGAACGAGCACGGGCTGGAGGCGTTTGATGCCAACGCCGATGAAACCCTCAACGACGACAATGACATGGACGCCGACATTGACGACGACAACGACGAAGACAACGTCCTGCTCGCCCAACTCGCTCAGCAACTCGCTCAAATGGCACCAGCCGAGCTACCCGACTACCGCGAGTGGTCTGTGGCGGAAATCATGTCCTTCATGCACCAAACCCGACTTCGGCGTCGGCTGCGCTTGCGTCGGCTGCGCCGCCGTCGCGCGCTGGCTCGCCGACAGCAGGAACAAACTCTCCGCCAGACCGGCCTGGAGGACTACAACCAAGTCAACCACACAGAGCAACTGGATGCTGCCATTATTGCCACCGCTGTCGCGGCGGGCAGCATCAGTCCGCAGACGGGCAGCATTATGGTGAAGGCCATGCCCGTCACTCTCTGCACGCCTGCCCTCGCCAAGTGCTTTGGGACGGTCTGGGAAGGGTTGATGCAGATTGTCCTCGGCCCAGATAGCGGACAAGTTTTGGAGCAAATCGGCAAGTCCAACCCCAAGCCCACGTCCTGTGGCCATGTGTTTGTCAAGGGCGAGACCACGTATCACTGCCGGTAAGGAAAAGGGAGGCGGGACGCAAAGGTTGCAAAACGAACGCCAGAAAGGGGAGAAGCACGAGCAGCCTTGAGTTGTCATGTTTTGGAGCTGGGGCAAAGCTGATTTTTGATTTTGCATATTCACTGCGGGAAATGCTTGTTCTCCCTTGTACGTTAGCGACTGCGGGAACGATGCGACGTGCGTGCTTTGCACAGACTGCTTCCGAAATGGCCCGCATGTCAACCACAACTATCGCATGTCATCGTCGCATGGCGGCGGTTGCTGTGATTGCGGCGAGATCGAGGCGTGGAAGTGCCTTCCGAGCTGCGCGACCCATTTGAAGGCGCAGGAAGAAGCGAGCAAGCTTGCCAGCCCCATTTCTTCCATTCCAGCACAAGTCGCTGCAACAGCCTCGTCCGCCTTCCCGGCGCTGCTTCGCTTCATTCTGGACGTTCTTTTGCTGTCGCATTCGGGCGGCGTGGAGAGTGACTCGCGTCTCCCTCTGGACCGCGTCCGTAGCGCAGTCTCTCTCGCCCAAAGCGAGGTTGCGCTCAAAGCCGCTTGTTTTGTTCGAGACTCTGCGGAAGCTCCATCTTGGGCGAACGTGGACGAGTTTGACAATCCCGAGCTGTTTGTTGTCGTGCTGTACAATGACGAAAAGCACTCATTCGACCAAGTCATCAACCAGCTGAAGCGCGGCGTGGGCATGTCGCCTTCCGACGCCAAGCATACCGCGATGGTTGTTCATGCTGAGGTAACATCACATCATTGTGTGACAAGCGGTCGTGGCTGCTTTCAAGAGAGGAAGTGTGAGTTGATGCTAACTTTTGTTGTGTGTTGTTATTGTTGTTGTTGCTGTTGTTTTGTTCAGGGTCGCGCTATCGTGTGCTCTGGTACCGAGGATGAATGTATGGAGGCTCGTCGCCGTCTTCAGCGAACTGATTCATCCAACACGGAGCCACTCTACGTTGGAGTGCATCCTGCCATTCTGATTCATTTGCAGTACCTGGCACTTGTCGCGCTACGCTTCTTGATTGAGCTTAGTTCGGTAGGTTTTTGTGTTCATTTTGAGCCCAGCTACTGGGTTGCTGCTTTTTTTGTTGTTGTTGTTGTTGTTGTTGTTGTTCTTGTTTCACGTCGTGATTGACTCGTACCCTTTGTATTTTTCTCACACAGAGCCACGCCGGCTTCCAGCACCTCATTTGCGCCGCCCTGGTCAACCCCATGGATTACCATGACGTACTGGATAAAGACGAGATTGGCGAAGGCTCGCCGGTAGACCTCATTTTCCGCGCAGACACTCGGCTGTGGAAGCACGTGCGCACGGCACTGCACGATCTCCTGATGGCGACAATGCTTCGGGACCAGGTGTTCAAGGGCCAGTTTGGCGTCATCATGTGCCGGAACTACGCCTATTGCCAGTGGCAGTTCTTGGAGGACTCGCACGCGCTGTCCGACTCCATCATGTCTGTTTCGGTGCAGATCTTCACCGTCCCATCCATTGTGTGCATGCTGGTGGAGCAGCACAATCTCTTGGGCAATCTGCTCACCGTCCTCAACGCAACCTTCCGGACGGCGCTCGTGCCCAACACGATGATTGATCGAGGTTTGAACGATCAGCTCGTGGGTGGGCTCACGATGGATTGTCTGAGCAACTTGATTCGCTCGCGTCGATACTTTCACATTCTGCTCGACCTCCGCTATGTTGCGCGGCACCTGTTTCCCGTCCCGGATGTTCGCGCTGATTTGGGCAGCTTTTTGCAGTTCCTGGGCATGATGCACGAGATGGATTCGATTGCTCGCGAACGGGTGGAACACGTCCTTCACGAAACAGACTCTTGGACGCATGCGCTCACGCTGTACCTGTACATCATGTCGATCATTCCGTCGCTGTCGACCATCTTTTCGCCGACGCCGGGCGATTTCCAGATTTGCTGCGACGCGACCGTCGATGCCATCTTGCAGAGCGGAGAACGGCGACTGCTTGCACTGCATCCCGTGGTCTTCTCGACCAGCCTGGGCACGACCGCCGCGCTCGATTACGATGTTTCGCTGCGACCGGTTTCGCTGCACATTCCGCTGCACCGTTTCCTCGCCGGACTGATTGCAGAGGCTGCAGCCAAGCACATCAACCTTGCCACAGTCATGTCGCGCGCAAACCGTGGATTTTTGCTCCATGTGATGGAGCATCCTTTGCGGCTCATGATTCTGCTGGCTCAGTCGCGCCCCAATCTCTGGGTTCGCAACGGTGCCTCTTTAATCAATCAGCTCTACAACTACTCGGGCATGATGTTCCGCGAACACACGCTTGAACGCGATTTGATGCTCATTCAGGCCGTCGCGGCTCAGACGCTTGCTGGTGACGACGACTCCAATGTCAGAGCGATGCAGACCGAGACAAGTCAGCCTGCCAGCTCCACCGTTGACAGCCGTGCCACGAGCTTTTTGCTGATGCTGATGCGTCGCTTTGCCGTGGACAATTGGTTTGAGGCCGATCCCACCGCCGTCCCACCGCCAGCTGTCTCGGCCGCCGTGGAAGCCCAGGCTCACTCTGATCGACGCGTGCAAACCGTGCTTGTGGAAGAGTTCCTTCACTTTGTGATTGCCCTCTTGACGGAGCGTTGGAAGCTCGGCGTCGGCCAAGTCACCATCACGGACGTGATTCAGCGCCACATTGTGCACCGACTCTACTTGTCATCGGCCCCGCACAGCGAGTTGGCCTCCTCCATCTCAAAGTACATTGTCGAGCATGCAGAGTTTGACTCTGTTCTGCGGCAAGTGGCCACGTTTAAACAGCCCGAGCGCGTCGCCGACTCTGGCGTCTACGAGTTGCGGGAGCAGTACGCTGTTCAGTTCGACCCGTTTTTTTTCGCTTACGGCCGACGCGACGGAGATCTGGCTGCAGACAATCGCCGAATGCGGCTCCGGCGCACCGCCGCTGCCCTCAGTCCCCCTGGAGGCGCTGTTGTGGCTCCCGAGGACGTTGCGTTCATGGCTTCGCCCGCACCACCACCCTTCACCTCGACTTTTGCGGCGCTCAACAACCTGCCGCTGTCGAAGGCCTACTATCACATGATTGTACGGCCTCTGCGTCGCGCAATGACCGGGAACAGTGAAATGTTTTCGGACATGGTCGTTCAACAAGCTCTCCGCTTGTTGGTGATTGGCATTCAACTGCAAGGAGAGGCTGCTGCTGCTGCTGCTGCACCTGCCGCGCCGACAACTCCGGTTCGTCCGACTGGCCCTCGAGGCCAGGCCGCGGCACGTGGCAGCGCTTCGTCTGCTTCCTCCACGGCGCTCCCTCCGGGCCATGTCGCGACTGAGGTGCCTGTCACTGCAAATGAATTTGTTCGGGTCATGTGCGCCTTGGATTTGGAGCTCGGCTCTGGCTGGCAGGGTCTGTTCCCCACACTGCTCGCGCTGCGTCTCCAAGACCACCTCAAGGCTTTCAAATCCTGCATCACTTGGGTGTTGAAGAGCTTTTACTCGTGCCCCTCTGCTTCCGAGCGTGTCAAGTCCATGCTGGCTCCCTTGTTTGCGGCTGCCAGCGGCACTGGAACCGGTGCGAGTGCCGGCAACAGCGAGGCGCCTGCCGACGCCGATGCACAGACGGAGCGTGCCCGTAAAGCTGCCATTGCCAAGCAAGCACGTGAAAAGGCGTTGGCCCAAGTATCCTTGATGCAACGCCAGTTCAAGGACAAGCACATGGACCTGTACCACGAAGCGTCCGGAGAATCATCGCCTGCACTCAGTCGCAGCCCTTCAGTCTCCAACACGCCTGGCATTCCCAACCGCTCAGGGGCGAGCTCCCCGGCGCTGAGCCTTTCGATCGCGTCTGCCACCACTCAGCCGGGCTCGCCCTTTGGCACGGCGGCTGCTGCTGCTGTCGGCTCGGACGCTTCACCCATGTCGACTGCGCTGGGCAACAGTCTCTCTTCTGACATGCTGCACGTGAGCACGAGCCTGCGGTCGGTTGCGTCGGCTGCGGTCGATGACATGCCTCAGTTCCAGGACTTGGCCACCGCGCTGTGCATTTTGTGCCAGGAGGAATCTGTGATTTCCAACGACAGCGCCAATCCGATGGGACTGGTGGCCTGCACGCAAACGTCCAGCGTGCTGGCCTCCTTGAATGCCCGTGGTGACTGGACTGCCCAGTACCGACAAGCGCATGATGCGCAATACCAGAACGAAAGCGCAGCCGTCCTTCGCCAGGCAAGCAAGCTGTATGGCGCTGCCATTCCCGCGCTTTCTCAACCCCAGCCAGCGAATGGAGGGGCATCGACCCCGACGGCGCGCAATCTCTTCCGTAGCTTGTCGCATGCATCCAGTCCCAGCGTGAACGCCCCGGCTGTCGTCTATCCTGGAACGCCCCCACCAGCTACTCCGCCCACTGCGCCCGTGCGCCCCAACAACAACAACGCGCCTCCGACCGGACTCACGAGTGCACCCTCATGGGAGGACGGCTTGCACCACGAATTTTACGAGCGGCTTCAGCTCTCTCGTGCAGGCAACCGTGCAAAGGCGCTCTCGGACACGCGAGACTTGGACCCGACCTCTCGCGAGGCAGTTGACTTGGGAGGTGCTGCTCGAACGCTCTTCCGACAGCTCGACGGCGACCGCGGCATCCACGTATCCAGCTGTGGACATGCCATGCACATTGAGTGTTGGACGCGCTACACGGCCGGTCTTCGCTCCCAGCCCTACCACGCTCGCCGGCCTCAAATTGAAAACCTCGATCTCGAAGAGTATCTCTGCCCCCTGTGCAAGACTCTTGGAAACACCCTGCTTCCACTGGTGTCTGTGGGCCAGCTCTGCGCGCCGCCCATGCTGTGGTCACCCAACGCTGGCAGCCAAGCCGCGAGCGATGACGGTTCGAGTGACTACCGCGGTGCGTTTGCAAGCCAAGGCTTTGCTGGCAGCGAGATCGACAGTGAAGGCCACGTTGATTCAAACGATGCTCATCAGGAGGGGGACGACACTCAGCCACTGCAGCAATCCCGCAAAATCCTGCCCGCAACTGGGCGTGCCTTGGGGCGCACGAGGGCATCCACTTCGCTCTCGTTCGACTACGACCATTCGTCGTCGTCCGATGTGGATGAGGACGGCGAGGATGTTGTGCCAGGACGCGCCGCAAACCGACCGGAGGTTCGCCTCAGCAGCAGCCCAGGCAGTCTTGGCGCGGGCTCTGGGCCCCGCTTTTCATCTCGAACCTCTGCTGTCGGCAGCGGCGGCATGCTTGGCGATGCAATGACTGCCAGCGCTCACGCCAACGCGCAAGATTCGCAAGTCGCACGGTCTGACGCCTTGTTCCTGCAATGGCTCACTGCTGTTGCCGAGTCGGCTGTTGCCGCTCCGCTTGCTGGCCCGTCGTACAAAGAGATTGATGTGGCGCCGGTGAACAACCCGCCCACTAGCTTCCACGACATGCTCGATCTACTGAATCCGGTTGAGCGAGCACCGTTTGCACCAATGTCTGGTGCGCCTCCTCGGCTTGAGACCGTTGTGAGTGGTGGTGGTGCTGGTGGTGGTGGGGACATGGGCGATTTTGGCTCTGCTCCAGAGAACTACCCCCGCCCGCGCTCGTTTACCGAGTTCCTCTCGCGCAACATTCGTTATGGGCTCATCCCAATGTTGCAAAACATGTCTCGGGGCGCGTTTGAAACTCTCAACCGTTCGCGTGGACGCCGGCAAGTCGATGCCGTTCTGGGCGCCAACGCCGACGGTCGTGAGACGAGCAGCAACGAAGCCAAGGACTTTGGAGCGGCCCAAGAAACGCAGCGCCGCTTGGTCGATCGGCTGCAATACCAACAAATGCAGATCAACGACATGTTGCGCCGAGCTCTGCTTGCCCTTCCGTGGCGTGTGTACTCGATGGATGCGCACCGAAGCGGCGACATCCATGCGGCGTCCATTGCGCCCCCTTTGGCCGGAGCCTCATCCACAGATCTCAAAGTGAGCGCCACCACCTGGTCGAGTTGCGCATACACGATCGCCAGCGCCGAGGTGGCCGCGCGTCTCACGCCAAATCCCCAGGGCAAGTTTGTGGTCGAGCTGATCAGTGAGCGACAGCTCCACTTCCTTCGGTCGTTAACGGCTGCAGTCGTGGCACACAGCCAGCTGCGCACGGAACGCCCTGTTGCATTGTCCCAGTTCTTTTTGCTCAGCCTGCTTGGCACTGCAGACAATCCCCAGTCGCCTGCAGCGTTCGTCCTGTCAGCCTCTGCTTCCGGCTCTTCGCCCTTCATTGTCAATTCCAACAGCAGTAGCAGCAGCAGTAGCAACAGCGTTGGCAGCGGCAGCAGCAGCAGCAGCAGCAGTGGCGATGGTGCTGCTGTTGGGCTGGGAGGCAAATCGCTGCCGGATGGTCCCGCCGCTTCCACATTGCTCTCCCAGCAACCGTTTGCCTCGCTCTTGAGCCCGTTGCATTTGCCGCTGCTCATGGATCCGTTCAACGCGCTTGTTGCCTCGCAGTTCCTTCTTGCGCCACACCTCTCGTCGGCTGTCGGCTCTGTCAAGCGCCTGCATTACATGGTGCGCTTGCTATACGTTCTTGCCTTGACGCAAGCGTTGCTTGCTGTAGTTGCCGCGCGTATGAGTGTTGGCAAGGCTCGTGCCGCGTCGACCAACTTTTGGGACGAGGAGCAGCGTGCCCTGGTTCAGGAATTGCTTGCAGAAGAGGCAGCAGCAGCAGCAGCTTCCAAGCAGGTTGTTGGCGGCAAACCGCCCCGTAGTGACGATGATATTATCGGGAACACTCGCGGAGCTGAAGAGGAGCGAGATGACGACGAGGACGAAGAAGATTTTGATGATGATGACGACGATGATGACGATGACGACGACGACGACGACGACAGCCAATCAGCCGATCGCGACGCTCTGGTGCAGTTCTTCCGTTCCATTCTTTCGTGGCTGAACGTTCGCAAGCTGGATCAGTACAGCAACGTGATCGATGCCCCTCGGTTCCAACGTCGCTTGGCTGCCTTTGTGAACGACGTCACGCTGCCGTTCTTGCGACGCGCTGCCATCTTCTCCTTTGCCATTTGCAATGGAGGAGACTTGACTACCGCACCCCCTGCCAGCGGCACCCCAGCCCGCCGCCTTGCACCGTGGGCGCAGCAGCCCGATGCCAGCGACGAGACATTGCGTCTCCAGCAATACCTTTCGCTGCCCTCGTACCATCGCCTCTTGGCCCAGGGAAGCTCGGTGCCAGTCGTCCAGGAGCTGGCGCGCTTCTGGGTGGTCGCGACTGCCGACCAAGTCAAGGCGCGTGCGCTCGCCCGCGTCTCAGTTGCGTCGTCGCCCTTGGCTCCGAGCCGCTCGCGGCACGGACAACCCGGCACGCCCTCGGTTGCCATGGCTGATCCCGTGGCCATGTCTTCGTCGCCGCCCTTGCTGTCCTACATGGCGCTGCCGTTTGTCGGATCGGGTGCTGGCAGCGAGCTCAGCGCCGAGCGCTTTTTGCACGATCTCGCCAAACTCGTGCCTGTGCCACGCCCCATTCGCAGGCAGGCGCTTGTTCCGCTGCCCGAGAACTACAACGACCTGTTCCACGAGGCTGTGCGAGTGACGTGCAGCGCGTGCGGACAGATTCCAAACAACCCCGCGTTGTGCCTGGTCTGCGGCAAATACCTGTGTTCCCAGGCCCAGTGTTGCATGACTGGTCAATCGCCCGTCGGTGAGTGCGCTGCACATGCCGTCTCGTGCGGCGCGGGCAGCGGCATTTTCCTCCACATTCGTCGGTGTGTCATTGTCCTCCTTCACGCCACGCTCGGCACCTTTGTCAACACGCCGTACCTGGACGCGCACGGTGAAACGGACGTCGGTTTGCGGCGTGGCCATCCCCTCAAGCTCAATCGCCAGCGCTACGAGCAGCTCAACAAGATTTGGGTCTCGCACCATGCCTGGTCTGAGACTGTGCGATCGTTTGACGCCAACCCCAATGCGGTTGATTGGGTTGCGTTTTAAGATTCGGATTCTTGTTGTTGCTGCTTCAACTTTTTTTTCTTCTTTGTTTGGGTTGTATTGTTTGTGTGCATGCTTTTGTGTCGCTACTCTGTAGCATTGTACTGGTTGTTTTTGGTTGAAACGAACAAATACTGTAATCATCGACGCGTCGGTGTTTTACAAAAAGTAATGGTTGAATTGAAACTGACAACACTAGCGACACACAAAATGGAGAGATCGGATCGGAGAGCAAAGATAAACAACCGAAAGAACAGAAGAAGAAAAAAAAACACACACGCACAAAAGAGAACCAAACGAATGTGACAGATTTGATTGACAAAGGAGGAGGGGAGGAGGGGAGCAAAGAAAAATTAGTAGAACGAAGGCAACCCGTCGTAATACATGAAACGAGATGAAAAAAAGAAAGAGAAAAAGCTGGTGCAAAATACAAGCGAGCCAAGAAGGAGGTGCGGAGAAGACAACGACGATCGAGCTCGACGTGGGGAACAGTGGAAGTCTGTGAACGCGTTACTGGCTATCTGCTGCTGCTGGTGCTGGGGCTGAGCTCGAGGATGCTGGTGTAGCTGGTGTGGCGGTGCTGGGTGCGGTCGCCTCGGCAGCAGCGGCTGCGTCTTCGTCCGCTTCGTTGTCGGTCTGAGCACAGTCGTGCGGGTGCTCGTACTCGAAGGCGGCCGTTTGCTCCGAATCAGCTTGCTGCAAGTCATCAGATGGTGCGTCGATGGCGTCTGCGCGCGTGTGCTTGCCCATAGCGAGAGCGACATCAATGTCTTGCGGAAGAACAGACTTGCGGCGCATGCCGGCGCTGAAAATGGCAGGAGCTTCGACCTCGGTTGTTCGAAGAGGCTGTTGAGGGAAATTTGGGGTTGGGGGGGGGGGGAAAGAGGGCGGGTCAGCCACCTCCTTTGCACAAAAAAAAAAAAAAGTGCAAATCCGACCCAAAAAAAAAAAAAAAAAGCAAAACCACTTAATCTATACCTGCACTTCGTCTCGCAACTTGTCAATGTCGTCCTCAGGGTAAAACAGCGAGTCGGATCGGGCTCGAGATGAAGCCTTGCCCTCGCGCACCGTGCCGTTTCGAAGAGGCCCGTTGTTGTCGCCAGTCTTGGCAAGAATCTCAATTCGCTGCCACATTTGCTCACGCTCGGCGAGCTTCTCCTTTTCTCTGTGATTGGCCACACGTGCAAGTCAGTCAAGGCAAATTAAAAAGTTGCAAAACACAAAATAAACAAAAAAAAAAAAAAAACGAAGAAAAAAACACCTGGGTGACACTCTTACCTTTGTCGCTCGCTCTTGTACTGATGGGTGCATTCGTCAAACAAACGAGGGTTCATGTCCATGAACAGTTTGAGGGCGTTGTAGACAAGACCGTGGATGGTTCGATTCCAGTGCGACTTGGAATTCTTGTATAAAGAAGCAAACATGATGGGCAAAATAATCTCGCTGTTGTCGTTGATGAGGCTCATGATGTACTCGTTGTTCCAAAAGTACAGTGCACGCTCGGCCACCTGTTATGTGTGTGTGTCACGGGGAAGGAGACGCAGACAAACAGTAAGATTCAAAGCAGCAACAGCAGAGCAAAAGCACCACGACATCGGCCTTTGCTGGCAACATACCTGGAAATGCGGGCTGGCAACGCATCGAGCGAGCTGTCGGAACAGAGGTTCGGCAATACGCTTGAACTCGATCGGCTCAATGACGTCCAAAATTTCCTCGACTTCGCTCAAAAACATGACTTCCTTTGGGCTGTTTGTCTTGGGCCAAAACTTGAGCAAGCCAATAATAACCTGGAAGTGCACCGAAAATACAGGCAGAAGACACACAGTTAGAACAACACAAAATCCAATTCAGCACACGCACGCGTGATGAAGGCGAAGTTACGCACCGGCTCTGTCAACGATGGGTCCTTCTCCAAGAACTGGACAACGCAGTACGCCAGCTGAGGATGGTACAGTGAAAGCGATCGCACTTTGTGCAGCGGGATGAGGACACGCGTCAAAAAGACCTTGTGTTCCTCCTTGAGCGGAAGTGCAAATCCATTGATGATGCTGCCGAGGATTTCAAGCAGCTCGGCAATGCCGTTATGGTGCCCCTTCTCATAAATAAACTGATAGAAGATGTTGTTCATCGAGCGACGAATAAACGCGCGCAACGTCAAGAATTTTCCGTAAATGCGATGCAACGTTGTCTTTAAAAAGTCGCGCTCACGGGGATCTTCGCTGTCGAATAACTCGAGGAGCTGTGTAGCGTGCGAACAGAAGGTGAGGAAATGAGGGACAAAGTGAGTGGCAAATTTCGTCCCCAAAACGACGAGCACCACCAACAACACCACCACCACCACCAACAACAAGCGAAAAAAAAACCATCAACAAGGAAAAAAACAGAACAACACCAAGTGAAGAAGCTTTACCGAAGTGACGAATTTTTGCTCAATGTACTTTTTGCCAATGTTGGGCTGGAAGTCTGGCGACTCGAGGAATCGCAGGAAGAACTCGTAGACAATCTGGAGATGGGGCCATGAGGCCTCGAGCACGGGCTCGTCTTCCTCGGGGTCGAACGCATCGCCGGTGGGGTTGGAAGAAGGCGGCAACGTGCGGAAGAGATTGCTGGCAAACATGCTCACGGCCTCCGGGTAGACGGCCTCGGTGATGATGCCCCGGTTGTTGGTCACGTACTCGACCAGCTCGTGGAGCGATGCGCGCTTAATCTCCTTGCCGCGGAGATCGCTGAGCGCATCTGAAAAGTCAAAGCCCACCGAGCACTGGCGCAGCTTTTGGCAAAACAGGGCCTCCCGCTCCGTCGGCGGGACATCCTTGAGCAGGCTCAGCTTTTCGAGCTCAACCTTGGCCGTTGCTCGGAAGCGCGACGACGTCTGGCGCTTCGGGGCCTTGGCAATCAGGTTGTCGCCCTTGGACTTTTTGAACTTGTCAAACACGACGCCCGCCTTTGGCGGCTCCTGCGGCGAAGCGTGTCTCTGAGGCGAGAGCATGCGCTGGCAGGAAAGTATTTGCAGACGAACAAGAACAAGGAAGATTTGTGAGTGAAAGTGAAAGTGAAAGTGAAAGTGAAGTAACGAGAAAGTAGAGGAAGGTGATTGTTTGTGTGCTTTTTTTCTGGTTTTGCTTTTTTTTTTTTTTTTTCAACTTCACCTTTGCGACGCTGTTGTTGTTTTTTTGCATTGCGACTTTGTCATCATGCGAGTGCACACAGCGCGATGAAATGCGGAATCGAATCGCAGGGACGGCGAGGAAAATCGAGCGATGGGCAAAGAAACAAACAAAACAAAAAAAAAAAGGTCTTTGCTATGGGGAAAAATCGCTTAAAATGAAATTTGGATAGGATGTGCTCACGACGCATGTGAAGAGAAAGGTAGTCAGAGTGCATTTGCTTTTTTAGAGCCGATTGCGTTTGCTCTGCTGCTTTGGGCTCTCGCCGAGCTTTTGCCCCCCGCGCTACGTTGGTGAAATCGTTTGCAATGCTGATCGGACCACCCCCTCGACGGCATTCGACGGCATTCGATGACCGAGCCAATTCCTCAATGGAAAAGGCAATGCAAACAAAAACCCACAAAAAAAAACTCAAAAAAAATAAAGTAAAAAAAAAATAAAAAAAAAATAAAAAGGTCAGGTTTTTTGTGATTGACGCACGATTGACGCAAAAACGCCGCGTCGCGCTCAGCCGTCAGAGCAGAGCAAGCAGAGCAAGCAGACTGAAAGGCGTAGAATGGAGTCTGGTCGAAATCTGGGCTCCGTTGTGCTCGAAATTGGCGGGGGGGGGGGAGCGAGAGAGAGAATGGAAAAAGGATTGAGATGCGTATTGGCAAACAACGCGCTCTCCAACGCCGCTCGCAGCAGCAGACTCCATGACGAGAGTGGCAAAGGAGAGGAGAGCAAGAAGGCATCTCGCCGCTCGCAGCGTGGGGGGGGGGAAGCAGCAACACAGCCAGACAGAAACAGAGACAGAAGCAGAAACAGAGACAGGAAGGAACGGCAATGCAATGAAAATCACTGCTTTTTTTCTTTTTTTTTTTTTTACTTTTGGTTTTGTTAAGTTGCTGCTGGCTTTCGATGGATGATCGCGCGCTCCTGCACCTTCCCTTGTGTCGATTGGCATCCCACAGCCCCTCCTCTCCCCCTCCCCCATTCAATGAAACAACAAGCAGGACACTCAAACAGGAATCAAAGAAAAAAGCGAATTGTTGATTTTTATTTTCCCCTTTGATTTTTTTTTTTTTTTTTTTTTACCTCAGGCTCCATTGTCGATTTCTGAAAAAAAGTGAAAAGAAAACGAAAACTGAGCCGCGTTGCTTTTGATGTGATGATGGATGAAGATAAATACGGGAATGGCATGGACCAGACGGAGTGGCTGTCCTGAAGGCCTGATCGTTCGTTCGCTCGCTGGGTTGTGTGTGTCAAAGTCAAGCCACACATCCAAAAACCAAATCGCCGTCGGTGCAACTGTCTCAGCTATTTCGCAGAAAAATGAAATGTGTTGAAAACCAAGGCTCACTTTCCATTTTATCATCATCAGCAGCAGCAGCAGCAATGGAACAAGAACTCACACAAGCCGTCAACAAAATGTATGGACTTGCATTGGCACTCATCACGATCCAGTTGTTTTCTCCGCCAACCAATCCCCCGCCGCCTCCCACGCGCCAATGTCAGCAGCACGACCTTCTTTGCCTTGGCTGTGATCCCCTCGTGCGATGGCTGGAGACGGCGAGCGCAGCAAGCCCAGTCAAAGGACGAGGAATAGAAAAAAAAAAAGCAAACTTTTGCTGGACTTCCATTGCGCCAGTTCCAATGGAAAGATCGTCCTTGCGGCCCCTTCCCCCCCCCCTCCCGGCGCCCAAGAGTCGTCTGTCTGGTGCCGTGTAACGGCTGATGAACGAGCAGCACAGCAGCTGGGAGGAGGGATGGACTGCAACTGCAGCCTTGGCTCTTACCATCACATGTTCCCTCTCACTCACCCAGCAAGCATGGACCCGTGTGGAACTCACTCTTGCATCCATTGTTGTTGTTGTTGTTGTCGTCGTCGTCGTCTTTGAACACGTTGCTTAGTCACCAAGACGGCGCACTCGGCGTTGTTGCTGCAGACCGCCAGGGTCTTTGCCTCGCTGCTCGCGGCACTGGAACCAGCTCGGCCGCATCGTTCGTCTCGCTCCTTGCCCAGCGCGCCAAGTCCTTGTCAAGCACTGCAGAGTCCCCCGTCGTTGTTATTGAGGCGGATCACTTGTGAGTTTTTGGGTGCCAGCTTGTGTTTCTGCCTCACTTGAGCCCGCTTTGTGTCACTGCAATCTCACTTTGATCGTTGACGTTCTTTTGTGTGTTTGTGATGTCGCCCATGCGTGTGTTGTTTGCTGCACAGCAACGTTCTGATCTCCCAACAGAGCGACGTCACGACAGCCATTTGGAAGCAGGCCTAATCGCCAAGTCGTCAGTTGTTTGCAGTCGTGCTTTTCTTTGTTTCTGCTTGTTGTGATTACAGTGCTTCGTTCATTTGCGTCTTTCCGATTAGCAGTGGCTTGTACATGCGGTATTGTTGGTGGAGATGAGGTCGAGCTGCAGTCCTTCATTGAAATGTATTGAAAATGCGTTGTACGAGAAGTTGTGTCTTGGCCTTCAAGTCGGCCTTGGTGTCGACTCGGTCTGGTAGTTTTGCATTATCGTGTCGTCAGCAGGATGAATAGTCGGAAACGAGGCGGGTGGTGCTGGTGATTTGGACGCTGCAATGCTCGAACAGCGCGCTAGCTTTTCAAGCTGAAAATTAACAGCTGTAAATCTACTTGCCGCGTTTCTGCTCATCCAGCCAAGCGCTCCCCGCCAACAACAACAAAACCAACATTATCATAAATATTGATACTATTTTGACTTTGTCCTATTCTTGATTTCAATTGAAAAGCCGAATCCGCATTTGGGCGCAAAGTCATTCTTTCTTTTTTGGTCGTTCAAATTTCCGTGTATTTTCCGTCCAGAAAATGTTCGTCAAGAAGCGTGGTACGTTTTTTTCTTCCTTCCTGCCTTCCTGCCTTCTTGCTGTGCGCAACAACTCTTCTGTGCATGGTTTTCTCTTCATCTTTGTGACTATCGCAATCCCCTTGGAGCGGATCTGTCCATGAGCAACGGGTGATGATCCGCTTTTTAAATTTTTGGCGCCCATTTTCCCGCGTAAAATTTTCCCGCGTTTTTTTTCTCCGGTTGTTTCTTTCACCCATCTGCCCTTCAGTTACCTCGCCGACATCGGCAAACACTTGAAACATGTTGCCAACAGTGTGGATGACACATGGGCTTTGTAGCATCGCGCAAACCGAGTGCTGAGTGAGGCTTTGGCGTTTTCATTTCTTTGGCGCCAAAGTTCGCGCGCTTTTTTTTATTTCATTCAACCACCGCGGTTTGCACGCGTTTTTCAGCATCTTCCTGCTGCGCTTCTGCCATCGCTCCGCTCTGCATACCATCCTTGTATATTTTTGTTCAAACCAACAGCAATGAACGGGGATGAAATGGCTTGATTGTCGCGGAATGGGCGTGAAACGAAAATTTTGGCGCGATGCTTAAAAAATTTTGGCGGGAACCTTGGCGCGCTTTTTTTTCTTTTTTTTTTTTTTTTTCTGTTTGAATTCTGTCTTGTCTGCTTTGTCTTGGCTGAATTAAACGTCTCACCTCGCTTCCTCTGCCTCCCTTGCCCCTGCCTCTGCTCCTGCTCCTCTTTACAGATGGCCGCACCGAGAAGGTCATGTTCGACAAGATCACCTCGCGTGTCAACAAGCTCTGCTACGGCTTGAACTCGGACTATGTTGACGCTGTTGAAATCACACAAAAGGTCAGTCACCCAACGCAAACCGGGCCCCTCGCCTCACGTCCAGCCCCACCAGCCCACCAGCCGTGAACGGTGAATCAGTGACAGTACTGGGATTGCTGGGGGAATGGGATGCTGACCCCCGGCGCCGAGACTGACGCCATAACGTTCGCACGTGTGCCGTTTGGTTCTTGGCGGTCTCATCACTGTCACAAGCGCTCCAACGCCGTGGCGGTGCAGCCCAGCCTCGATTTCTGCAACATGGAATGACCTACATGGCCTTGCTAGTCGATTGGGTGTGGCTTGAGGGTGGATGGGCGCTCGTGGCGCGAGCAGTGTCGTGTCGGCGTTTGCACGTCCTTTCTTGCGCTTCAACGTCAACGTCAACGTCTCTCCGACCTCTCAACGTCCTGTCCTGAAAAGAAAAAAAATCATGTTCTTGTGTCGACAACATCCTCCCTTTTTTTTTTTTTTTTTTTTTGCTCACTTGCCTGAAATTCTCCATCACGGTGTCTACCCCGGCGTGACCACCGTCGAGCTGTCTACCCCGGCGTGACCACCGTCGAGCTCGACACGTTGGCTGCCGAGACGGCCGCGTACCTCACGACCAAGCACCCCGACTATGCCATTCTGGCTGCACGCATTGCCGTGTCCAACCTGCACAAGGAGACCAAGAAGCAGTTTTCGAGCGTGATGCGCGACCTGTACGAGTACCAAAACCCCAAGACTGGCAAGCCCGCCCCGCTGCTCGCCGACGACGTGTACGAGATCATCCAGCGCAACGCCGACATTCTGGACTCTGCCGTCATCTACGATCGCGACTTTAGCTACTCGTACTTTGGCTTCAAGACCCTCGAGCGCTCGTACCTGCTCAAGCTCCACGGCAAGATTGCCGAGCGTCCCCAGCACATGCTCATGCGCGTGGCTGTGGGCATTCACAAGGAGAACATTGATCTCGTGCTCGAGACGTACAACCTCATGTCTGAAAAGTGGTTTACGCACGCCTCGCCCACGCTGTTCAACTCTGGCACGCCCCACCCGCAGCTGTCGTCGTGCTTCCTCCTCACCATGAAGGACGACTCGATCGAGGGCATCTACGAGACGCTCAAGACCTGCGCCATGATCTCGAAGACGGCCGGCGGCATTGGCCTCAACGTGCACTGCATTCGCGCGTCTGGCAGCTACATTGCCGGCACGAACGGCCACTCGAACGGCCTGGTGCCCATGCTCCGCGTGTTCAACACGACTGCACGCTATGTGGACCAGGGTGGCAACCGCCGCCCCGGTGCCTTTGCCATGTACCTCGAGCCGTGGCATGCCGACGTGTTTGACTTTTTGGAGCTCAAGAAGAACACTGGCAAGGAGGAGCAGCGCGCCCGCGACCTCTTCTTTGCGCTGTGGATTCCCGATCTCTTTATGAAGCGCGTCGAAGCCGACGGCAACTGGTCGCTCATGTGCCCCCACGAGTGCCCCGGCCTGGAGGAGACGTACGGCGACAAGTTTGAGGAGCTGTACACCCGCTACGAGCGCGAGGGCAAGGCCCGCAAGGTCATCAAGGCCCAGAAGCTGTGGTTTGCCATCCTCGAGTCCCAGACGGAGAGCGGCACGCCGTACATGCTGTACAAGGACGCCTGCAACATCAAGTCAAACCAAAAGAACCTCGGCACGATCAAGTGCTCCAACCTTTGCACGGAGATTGTCGAGTACAGCTCGCCCGACGAAGTTGCTGTCTGCAACCTTGCCTCGCTGTCGCTGCCCATGTTTGTCCGCTCAGACCGCACGTACGACTTTAAGAAGCTGCACGAGATCACCCAAGTCGTCACCAAGAACCTCAACCGCATCATTGACATTAACTACTACCCCGTGCCCGAGGCCGAAAAGTCGAACATGCGCCACCGCCCGATTGGTCTGGGCGTTCAAGGCCTGGCCGACGCCTTTATCCAGATGCGCGTTCCTTTCGACAGCGAGGATGCCAAGAAGCTCAACCGCGAGATTTTCGAGACCATCTACCACGCCGCCCTCACGGCCTCGGTCGAGATGGCCAAGAAGAGCGGTCCCTACGAGACGTACGCCGGCTCTCCGGTCAGCCAGGGCATTCTGCAGCACGACATGTGGGGTGTCAAGGAGACGAGCGGCCTGTGGGACTGGGACGCGCTGCGCGCCCAAATTGCCCAGCATGGCATTCGCAACAGTCTGCTTGTTGCTCCCATGCCCACAGCCTCCACTGCTCAGATTCTCGGCAACAACGAGTCGATCGAGCCCTACACTAGCAACATTTACACGCGCCGCGTGCTCTCTGGCGAGTTCCAGATTGTCAACCAGCACCTGCTGCACGATCTCATGGAGCTTGGTCTGTGGAACGACCGCATGAAGAACAAGATTATCTCTCAGGGCGGCTCGATTGCCGGCATTGAGGAAATCCCCGCCCACATTCGCGCCCTGTACAAGACTGTGTGGGAGCTGTCCCAAAAGACGCTCATTGACATGGCTGCCGACCGTGGCGCCTACATTGACCAAAGCCAATCGTTCAACGTGCACATTGCCGAGCCCAACTTTGGCAAGCTCACTTCGATGCACTTTTACGCATGGAAGCGCGGCCTCAAGACCGGCATGTACTACTTGCGTACTCGGCCTGCTGCTAACGCCATCCAGTTTACTGTCGATCAAAAGGCCCTCGCCGCACCACAAAAAGTGGACGAGGAGGCAGCCATGGTCTGCTCTCTGCAGAACAAGGAGGCTTGCCTGATGTGCAGTGGTTAATTGTTTATGTGTGTGTGTGTTGTAGTTGGTGTGGTGCTGTTTTTTTCGTTGTGGTGTAGATGTTTAAAATGAATCGCTTTTTTTTTTCTCGCTTTTCTGAAGTGATTCATGAGAATTGCATTGCGGCTGTGTCAATTTTGATATCAAAGCCCATTGGACATTGACAAGGCTCCGTGAGGCATTCTCTCTATTTCAAATGCCAATGATGGCATCCAACATCACAGCGCAAGCGAATCATCCGTTCGTGTTGCTCCTCCCTCTCACCAAGGCCCCCAAATCGCGAACTGAGCCTCTGGGTGGACGGAGCGGCTGGAGCAAACCCACACAATCGGCAAACGAAGGACGCGCAGAGGGATCCCATTCCCAGGTCGCCAACATTAGCGAGTAGAGCTGTGCAGGACAGGTGGGTGGTTGTGGCAAACGATCTCCGCGCTTCAGACCCACAAGGTACTGGTCCCGCTCGACATCCGCCCAAGGTGGCTGGCCCATTGTGAAGAGTTCCCCTAATTTTCAAGTGCAAGCGTGAGCAACGAAACGTCGTGTTATTCACGAGTGCTTGTGGTTCATCACTCCGCCTTACAAAGCACAACACCATACGAAAATACGTCCGATTGGCTCGAGAATTTGCGGTAGTTGAGTGTTTCGGGTGCCATCCACTACGATGCACGAATCCGGTGAATACACAAGGACAAGAAACAACACAACCCAGACTCGACCATTCTCAATCAACCGACTTACGCGAACTGGCAGCTTTTGCTTTGACTGCAACTTGTAGTAGTCCTTGTCATTGAGCTCCCTGGATAGACCAAAGTCGGCAATCTTGGCCACCAGATGCGAGCCAACAAGGACATTGCGGGCGGCCAGATCACGATGAAGCACTCGTGCTTGCTCCAAATACCCCATGCCCGCAGCAATACCGGTGGCCACGTGAACATACTCTTCTGGCGACCAGGCAACATCGCACTTTGCCGACTGACGAAGCAGATTGCGCAAATCACCTGTACAGAGCATACAAGAATCGTAAGTGAGTGAGCGCCAACGAATTCCGCTACACCGCCTGGAGCTACGACTGTACATCAAGGACTTACCGTACGGTACATACTCTAGAACGAGCATTTGCGGCTGACCTCGGCCAGCTGGAAGCACTGCGAGGACATTGACAATGTTGGTATGATTTAGCTTGCGCAAGAGCTCGGCTTCCAGCACAAAATCTTGCTCCGCTCGAGCATTGGCATCGAGTAGCAGAGTCTTGACGGCGACATCCACTGTCTGCGCGCCTGGTGCAAACAGATGACGATGCTGGGGAGCAATGAGGGCAATGGACACGTTCGCGGAAAACACTTGGCCAAAGTTGCCTCGTCCCAGCAGCTTGCGCGTGCCGGTGGCTATCTGCGACGACAACAGAGCAGCGGTTGACACCACTGCAATGCTGTACGCAGTTGAAGGGTCAACCGTTGTGGATGCAGGACCGCTGGTACTCTTGCTGGTTGCTTTGAGTGGTGTTGAGTAATCCGTGTTAGCGTTGCCTGAACCTGCTGGAACCGAGTGGGATGCCGAAGCAGGGCGGGACTTGTCTTGTTGAGTCTGACTGGCAACAACCTTGGCTGAATCATTGGAGTTGTGCTTCTGACGGCCTGAAGCGACGCCTGGCGTGGTCATTTCAATGGTTGCAGGAGACTTGTCCATCCTGAGGTTGTTGCGGCTTCGCTTCCTTCGACGCACAATTAGAAGGACGGCCACGATCGCAATCAAAACGACGACGCCTGCTGCTGCGGCTCCAGCAGCTGCGGCGGCAGGGCTACTGCCACCAGCGTTGTGAGCGCGAGAAGAAGAGCCTTCATCGCACGAATTGGTTTGCTGGTTG